TAGGCAATGGAGGGTACATCGTTCTTGATTCTCAATGGAAAGCCTAAAGCTCAACTCAAGACTTGATGCCATTCCCACGCGTAACCCTAAACCCTAAACCACTAAACCCTAAACCCTAAAAGCCCTGAACCGTAAACTTTAAAGCCTGAAATCCCGAAGCCCTACACCACCAAACCCTAAACCCTAAAAAGCCCTGAACCCCAAACTTTTTAAACCCGTAATCCCTAAACCCTAAACCCGGCTTCAGCTGTCGGTTTCCTCCGAGTGCTGAGGACCGAAATTCAAGATCGGATCTACTGGCTCAGGGCGCAGCTGCGGAGGTGTATGGGGCGTACTTAGAGGATCATGGGACTTAGTAAGGGTTCCAAGGGATCTATAGGGTTCCTTAAAGGGATCTATGGGGTTTAGGGTTTAGGGTCTACTTAGAGGATCATGGGACTTAGTAAGTAGGTTATAATGGGGGTTATAAGTCCCCTAAGTGGGGTTATCCTAATTATAACCTACTTATAACCTTACTTACTAAGTCCCATGAGCCTTCAAGTAGAGCTTCGGGGATTCAGAGGCTTAGAGAGTTTACGTGTTGGGGTTTAGGCATTTCGGGCTTAGGCTTCGAGCCTAGCGTTGCGGTGCTTCAGCTTCACACTATGGATCTTCTTCAAAGGATAGATTTTTTGCGGCTTAGGGCTTGAGGGTTGAGGGTGCAAGCACTTGTTGTGAGTCTTTGCGCTTCAGTCACAGAAAGACGAGAAAGGACTGATTCCGCTTCTGGGCTTCTAATACGTACGGTCAGTTCTTCTATGTGCAAAGCTGAAGTTATGAGGATAGCAACAAGCCGAATCCCATCATGGTACATCAAGGCGAGATTTGCCGGAATGACCCTCAACCCTAACCCCTAAACCCTAAACCCCAAACCGTCACGTCTACCGGGCACCAAAAACACTGCACGCCTCGGCGATTGCATCGCGATCGCCATCCCATCCCAGCGGGACCCTAAGCCCCCTTGTATCGGATGTTTTGCACTTAATTTAGGGGCTTTAGTAGTAATCTATACTATATTATGGGGCTCCTTATTATAATTATAGTATCATGGGCCCAAATAACCCTATTCCAATTATAAAGGGCCCTCTATTAACGCTGTGGGCTCCAGTTTCGAAGCCCGAGAGCTTGGGATGGAGCTGGACCCCAGGCCCTAGGCGTTATGCAGCTCAGTTGAGCAAGCCAAATTTCTTCAAAAAACCCACAATCGCCAGAGCTTCTGGCGACTCTGATATTATTCCTTACAGCTCTTCAATACAAGTATAGCAGAACATGCCCCAAAACCCTACTTGGAGGTCATGGGTAGTTGTAAGTAGGGTTATAAATAGGGTGACTATACATATAAACCATATTAGGAGAACTATAGCCCCACTTACAACTACCCATGAACCTCCAAGTAGTTTAATTAGTGAGGCCAAGTGTTCACCTTCCCTGTCGCCGCAGGCAGCCCGGGCTTCACGACCGGCGTGTTCAGGAGATGGTCTGGGGCTCAACCCAGAGAGCCCAATACCCCTTAATTAAGGAGTACGTGGGGCCTAAGGTTCCTTTCAGGGATCTATAGGGTTTAGGGTTAAGGAATATACCTCAAATTATTAGGGGCTTCATACTATGATTTAAGCTATATTCCTGAATTAAGGGGTATTGGGCTCTCTGGGAAGGCTGAAACCGGCTTCACCAGGAGTGGGAAGAATTAGAAATTACATATCCCCAGAGTCCCTGTCATAGTTATAGTATCATACACTGTTCTGGTCATTGATGCTCATGCAAAATGATGCTTGACAGTGAAAAGGGTACCCTAGTTATCACGAAAATGCCGCGGGATTGAGGCTATCTTTGTTGCCTCGTGTGTTTTGGATCTGGCTTCCTTGCAGTAGCCGTTCTAGTGGCGGAAGATCAGACGTGCTTCTGCTTTAAATCTCCTTGTGCGTGCCAATTTCTGGCTCGATTCTGTGCAGGGGTATTACTGCTCTTATGGCGATAACGCTTGATGATCACTATACCTAGTCTGGTGTCACTCTTTGAACCGCTAAACCAGAGGTCCAAAGCCCTAAACCCTTCATTTAACGTTACCCGTGATCCTCAAGCCATAAAGCCCTAAACCCTGAAGGCTACTCGTTTGCAAGCTCAGGTCGTGCTCCTTGCAGAGATGGCGGAGACGGTGCCCAGGAATCAGCGCGTGCGGTGCCTAGGGCCTAGGGGATCTATCAGCTTATTTGCAGAGGCATGCATCAGATCATTCAAGACATAGTGCCAATCATCCTGTGCGCTTCGCTTTGATAATGCTTGGTGTTTCGTTCAAGCGGGGACCATCTGCAGATTGGAGTTCCATCGAAGTATTGCGAATTTTGATAGGTGAGGAGCGAAAGGCAGAGTCGCGGACCGCATTGTTACGAGGAGTGAGCTACAACTCCGCCAATATACCAGTTCTATGCGCACGACGGCATATGACATTGCACGTCGGGTTGCGTTAATACAGCTCTTGGTACATATTTGTAGGCTTTGCTTCGCGCGACGGTCATTTCATGTGCTGGGAGCCTCCACCGTTGGACATGTACCGTTCTTCCTACCTGGTCTCTGCATGTATCACAGCTCCGTCATCTACGATTCGGTTTCTGTACGCCCCTACATGGCCGGTGAAGATGTCCCAAAACACATGTTTTGGTGGGTGGATCGCTGTAACCGCCACAAAAACAACGGCGAGATAACCCCGAGATGCGCACGCATGAACATCATGTGTGCTGTTTCTCTGCTATCTGAACGGACAGACCTCAGACTGAGACTGGAAAGGATTCTGGACTCCTTCACGCTATGTTTTGGGGGGTGTTGGTTCTGGGGCCCAGCACAATACCCCGAGGATCTTTGAAATCTGAAGTGCGCCGCTTGATTGAGGGTGTTGGGCTCCCGAAAGCCTCAAACGCCTAAACCCTAAACTGCGCTTAACCCATAAACCCAAAACCCGAACCGTATGGGCTGTAGAGTAGAGCCCCTAAAACCCTCAACCCCATAGCCCTAAACCTAAACCCGAACCGCGTAGCCTGTAGAGTAGAGCACCCCTTAGTCCAAGTTGCTGAAAGGTGGCGGCCATTCGCGAGCTTCTGGCTGAAATTGCCGAGCAAGCTGCAGCGACAGAAGTAGTTTGAAGAATTCTAACTACCTGAAGATGTTGTGGTGGATGTATGGTGGCAAAATATAGAACACCCCAGAGTGCAATACCTTTGTATGTCGCCTACTTCTGCAGCTGCGGCACGAATGTTTGTGTACTTGTTAATGTTTCACGGCCTTGTAAAGCACTCAGCAGAACGAGATCGCCAAGCTTGTCAAGCATATCGCACCGCAAGAACCCGCATTCAGACAGGCTCGGTAAATGACGAGTCATGAGTCCGTTTGAAAGAATAGCGCCCACCAGAAGTTGATACCAGTGCGGAAGATTTCTCATCCTGTAGACACGGCCAGACAAGACCCACTCCCTCGCTGACACACTCACACGTGTGCACGAAGCTTTGAACTTCAACTAACCATTGATATTGGAGGAGCTAAGGAGCCAGGGATGATGATAATCCCTATTAAATAAGGAGCTAAGGAGCCCAGGGAACCCCCAAAACCACTGGTTAGTCAAACTCAGCTGTGTTCGAGTCAAGCTCGGCCTCAGTACTTGGAAGGCTCATGGGACTTAGTAAGGGTTCTTAAAGGGCTCCTTAAAGGGATCTATAGGGTTCCTTAAAGGGATCTATGGGGTTTAGGGTTTAGGGTCTACTTAGAGGATCATGGGACTTAGTAAGTAAGGTTATAGGTAGGTTATAATTAGGATAACCCCACTTAGGGGACTTATAACCCCAATTATAACCTACTTACTAAGTCCCATGATCCTCTAAGTATGGTGTCACGATGTAGCGGCAGAGCTTGCAGGTTCAGCATCTACTTAGAGGATCATGGGACTTAGTAAGTAGGTTATAATTGGGGTTAGAAGTCCCCTAAGTGGGGTTATCCTAATTATAACCTACCTATAACCTTACTTACTAAGTCCCATGAGCCTTCAAGTAGGATGGAGACGCGATCTTGCTTCGCTGGGGGGCGGTAGCCGGTGTGTAACGATAATGCGCTTTTCCAGCCAGTAGCTGGATACTCGCAGTTGTGTCGTCCAGTCCGATCTGTCAGGAGAGGGCTCAACCGGTGCATTGAATTGCATCTTGATGTAAGCTCCTAAACCCTGAACCCTAAACCCTGAACCCCTTGAGCTGCAGCCAGAGCCACAGTGCCGGTCAGATAGGTGCTGGATCTTGCCACAGCTGCAGGGCCATGCATCTGGCAGATGATGCCAAAGTCCTTTGAATTCACATCATGCCCTGTGTGTCGGCATCATGCTCCGAAAACCCAGACCTTCTGTACGAAAGGATGACCAAATCTTCGTGCTTTGGTTCCTTGAGCTTTGAGGCACCCTGTGCGGTCTCGCAGTACATTGTCAGATGCTCAGATCGCAGTCGTGTCCGCAGATCGTATACTGCTGGTTTTCGCCAAGCCGACGCAGAACGTGCATCATGTCCAGGATAAATGAAACTCCTGAAGAAGCCACCCTCGACCCTGAACCCTGAGATTCTAAACACGACAACTTTGAACCAAAAAAACCCTACCCTAAGCACCAAAACCCTAGACTCGAAACCCCTAAACTGCCAAAGTTGGAGCGCGCCGCTTCAGGCCGTAATGGGCCGCACAGGGCCGCAATGCCCCACCCTCAACAAAACCCAAAACCCCACAGCTTTGGAACATCATGTCTCAAGCCCTTCACCCAACAGTCTCGACCCTATAAGTTAAGCCCTGAACCTGAAGCCTCTTCGGCGTCCCAAGCACAGTCCAAGTTGGGTTCTTACAACCATTCTTAAACTACCATAAACAGGAAACACCAGCATTTGCTTTAGATCCCCAGTAAATTAACCGTAGCAAGAACTCGGCAATACTCCCTCGACGCCATGCGCTGGCTGCTCCTCTTGGCGCATGCCTCCTTGGCCTCGGGTGGGGCGCGGCCTGCAGCAGACCCTTGGCTTTGCTAACCATTGATATTGGAGGAGCTAAGGAGCCAGGGATGATGATAGTCCCTATTAAATAAGGAGCTAAAGAGCCATGGAACCGCCAAAACCACTGGTTAGTTGGGATTTAGAAGTTCCGGTATTTTGAAACCTACTGTTGGGGCCTTAATGGTTAGAACAGGGTTTTTTGGAGGAGGGTCCTTATTGTAATAATTGATTAGGGTTTTTTGGAGGGGGGTCCTTATTGTAAATTAAAGCATAATATACTCCCAGACCCTGTTCTAATCATCAAGGCCCCTGTATTAGACAGTGAGTCATATGCATACTGTACCCTCAGGTGCGCAATGGCCCAAAGGCATGTCCGCCTTGACCCTCCTGCAGAGGAGATGTATACCTGTATTCTTACGGCTTCTCTTCCAAGCCCGGGCCCAGACAGCGCAATAATCCAGGGGCCTTCCTAGTCGGGTTCCGGGTCTTCTTAAGCGTGGGAGAAGTTTTGTTGGGGCCAGAAAGGAGCATTATGACAAAACATCCAGACGGGCACGGCACCCTTCAAAGCAGGAGGTCTCTGTGTTGTTGAACATAGCGGTCTAAACAATGAGGAACAGTATCCCGTTCAAATCTCTGTCTGAGTACACGCGAATTCGTCTAATCATTAAGGCCCTTGTATTATGAGAAATACGCCCCTCAAGCAGCCTTACGGTGTGTTTTCGACATGCCATCTGTGGCCAAGATCGAGGCTTCTGTGGTCAAGCAGGTTCTTTGCATGGGTATTGAAGGCCCGTGCATGGTCAGCACGAAGGCAAACACATGCCATGAGTCTTGAATCTTCTCGCTTTAGACCCTCAAGTCGACATCCTCTAAAGGAGACTATATGGACTACTACCAGGCTTCCTTCAAAGGGGACTATATGGACTACTATAAGGGTTGCCTCAAAGGAGACGATAAACCCAAAGCCAGACCTCAGGAAAGGATGCTGGGACTCTGCGATGATGGTGCACCCAGTGACGGCCGGGCCCCTGCCATTTACCTATCCCTGTTCTTAGGGGCCCAAAAATGCACCTAAGCATAAGCAGTTTTATAGGAATATCCCTACCTTAATGGGCTTCATTATGAGGGGGTTTATATGGGATATCCCTGTCCTGATTTTTGCTTATGTGCTTTTTGGGGGCTCTAGTTCTGGTAACTTCAATTCCACCCTGGTGAGTGAAGCCCTGGGCAGTCCGGTCCTAGATTCTAGGCCCTCTAGGCGTAATGAACCATGTGAACCAGATTGTGCGGCACATGAAAATTTCAACAATAAAATACTGTAATTGCATCGAGGAATCGCAAGGAACACTATTCTCGTGATTAGGCTCATATGTTGGAGCTGAGAGTTCAACATATAGGGGTCTGAAAGATTGATAAATATACCTAGAAACTCCATTCTAATGATTAAGACAGCTATATATGAACGGCTGAGGGTTTAGAGTTCGGGGTGTTTACGGCTTGCGGCTACCGGGGCCCCAAACCCAAGGAACTTCCAGAAATCAGGGCCCGAACACAAAGTGCAGTTCTCATAAATTAGCGTTCATCCACATAGTGCCCACGGATCTATGCTATCATAGAAAACCCCAAGTTCTGTGCTACAGAGGCGGACAAATCCCAAGTTGATGAAAACGGCAAAAAAATCCTGTCTACAAACAGAATCCACAGAAGAGCCCACAAAACCGCCGACTGAAGCCCGGCGATCCGTCTGCGCCCTTTTGCCTTCTCTGGAGGATACCTTTGAAAAGACGCTTCAACCTCTACTAGGATGCCCAGTAGTACCCTTATTCCCTTTTTGTAGTCCTAGGTTCCTTATAAAGTTACCCAATACCAAAAAGCGAGGCCTTTTTATTCTTAGGTTACTGGGTATCCTAGTCTATGACGTAGCTCCCTTGACAACTGGGGGGCGCAGCAACCCCAGACCCCTAGGCAACAAAAACCCGAAAGCCCTACCTCCTAAACCCTACTTAGAGGATCATGGGACTTAGTAAGGGTTCCTTTAAAGGGCTCCTTAAAGGGATCTATAGGGTTCCTTAAAGGGATCTATGGGGTTTAGGGTTTAGGGTCTACTTAGAGGATCATGGGACATGGTAAGTAGGTTATAATTGGGGTTATAAGTCCCCTAAGTGGGGTTATCCTAATTGTAACCTACTTATAACCTTACTTACTAAGTCCCATGAGCCTTCAAGTAGGCCCTAACCCCCAGCCCTCAAACCCCAAACCGTAAAGCGAAAGGTGTGTTGGCCAGCTACTGGCTAGTCTCCACCTGGCACGGCAGCATCCTCAAGTCCTGCAGCTCTTGAGTTTCAGGTTTAGGGTGCAAGGGTTCATGGTTCGGATGTCCCGTCGGGGCTTAGGGGTACTTAGAAATATTTTTTAATTTTTGGTCATTATAATCCCTAAGAAACAGCTAAAATTATAATTTTCGCTGGGGTTCTAAGTTCAGTCTAGGGGGTTTAGGAGTGGGATTTTAAGATTGGGAATTTAGGAGCCGATGAGGAAAGGATTTCGGGGAAAGGGTAGGGTTTCGCTGTGAAGAGGGTGAACCAGAGTAGGGTCGTTCCCTTTTCGGCTCAGTCTGAGAGTGGCGGCTCTTGTCTGGATACAAATGGGAGTTTTGGATAATTGGGAGGGGGTACCTGATGTTTTAGGGTCGTTCGATTAAGGATCCTATTATTTAGGGTACTAAATTAGCGTCCCCTTTTTTCGGAAACTTCCAAATCAGCCCTAAACCCTAAACCCTAAACCCCGAATGAGTTTCCAAGTTCCAGGAGCAGGTTCAGGGTTGAGGCTTCTGGGTTTGCTTGGAGGTTCATGGGTAGTTATAAGTGGGTTCCCTTTAGGGGTCCCTTTAAAGGGATCTACAGGGATTCTATAAGGGTATAGGGTTTAGTTTAGGGTCTACTTAGAGGTTCATGGGTAGTTATAAGTAGGGTTATAAGTAGGGTAACTATACCTACAACTTATAACCCATATTCGAGGACGTATAACCCCACTTAGAACTACCCATGAACCTCCAAGTGTGTCTCCATGTCAAACTGAGATCTTGTCAGAGAGCTACACGCTCCTGCTGAAGGAACATGCCCTACGTCATGTTGAAGGTAAGTATTATACCTTTCTGGGTAGATCTAGGATCCTACTACTTCGACTCACTGTGGACTGTCAGTCGGCCTTTGCAGATGGATTTCGCGAATTCGTGCAGGGGTAGATCTGCAAAATCAATAGACGCTCCAAGCAAGCTCTGAATGCTGTTGCCTTGATCCCTGGACCCTGCACTGCAAAGTCCTCACTACCCCCGAAATCCCAAAAAAGGCCCTAGTGGACCCCAAAAAGTTGGAACACGGATCTATACATTACTCTTAGCGACTGAGGCTATTGGATTTCCAAGTTTTTTGCTTCTACTGTATACCCTAAAGCTCGCGATCTTCTTGTCAAGGTCACCAGGGTCGGATGGATCTCAATGAGCTCCGCGAGTACAACGTCAGGTCAGTCGAACTTGGGGTGTTTTCTTAGTCAAAGTGCCACAACAGAGGGTTTAGGGTTTGATTTAGGACTTAGGGTTTATGCCTACTATAAGACTGTAACATGTATTCATACCCTGCACGCTGAAAGAACGTCAAGGTCGAACGTTCCGTCTTGAAACGTGCAGGGTTTCAGAGCTTGGGCTTCAGGTTTTAGTTCGTTCGCGTAGGCCTCGCAAGAATTAGGGGCTTGCGGCCCAGTGGTACCCGCAGGCACAGGGAATCCACTTGGGAGTGCGCGTCATGGCTCGGAGCTGGTGTGGAAGCCACTACCAGGAGCAGCGGCTGCAGCTGGCAGGTGGGTAAACCCGACCTGCAGGTAAGCAAGGAGTGGTGGCCACTTCCAAGCTGGCCACGCAAAAAGTTCTTGCTTTGTTCGGCGCTATGGCTCGAGTACGCAAAACCTGGGATTGACGGGGTCCCGGGCCTTGGTCGAAAAGGAACGTTAGGGCCCCCAGGCTCAAAGTTCCAAAACGAAAACCTCGCGCCGGCTACCAAAACAGCCAGCAAAATGCCAGCCTTGAGCAAGAAACTTGAGCCAAATGGGATTTTCTCGCCCGCTACATGAATCATGGAGAGGCTCGAAAATCTAAAACCTTGAGTCTCCGAAGAAGCTCGGAAGCCCTAAACCCTAAACGAAGGATCTCCAAAGCCCTAGTTTCGCAAAGTTTTTCTTCTTCGCCGATCATCACAAAACCCTCCGACCTCAGTTCTTAGTGGAGTCATGGCCACATCTGAACCTTAAGCGCTTAACCCTGGTTCAGGGCAGAGTGCAGAGCTGTTTGCTTTACTATCGTCTCCTTTGCATCCCAACCCAAAAGAGCGCGGCGCGGTCAGGCCCTTATTTTTGCACCACTGTCTGGTGCAGACGGACGTGCGAGAGTTTCTGGACCAGGCACCAGCACCGGAATGTTCAGGGATCCGTGCAGGGCTTAGGGTCTAGGGTTTAGGTGTATGGGTTTCCAGTAGAGGTTTCAGAAAAGAAGGGACCTAGATATGCACCCCGAATAATCGTCGAATCTTGATCATAGGTACCCGTACCTTACAACTTAACTAACCAGTGGTTTTGGGGGTTCCATGGCTCTTGAGCTCCTTATTCAATAGGGATCATCATCATCCCTGGCTCCTTAGCTCCTCCAATATCAATGTTTAGTTAAAGAATGCCCAGATCGTTGGGTCACGAGTGGTCCACCAAACTGCAGATTTTGAAACTGAGGCCTCACTCAAAGCATTGAGGGTACAGTACCCCGAAGTCGGAAGTCGTCACACCACAATATAGAAGAAGCCTGAGCAATTACAAAAAATACAAGGATCCTTCCTTGCAGCTCCTCGCTTTGGTTCCATTATGATAGTCCCCAACACCCATTATGATGGTTAAATGGCCCCATCTGACCTGGTTTGCTTGAGGCCTGGGTGGCTGGGCTTCGGGTTGTCGTGGAGCTCCAGCCATCGCTGTCGCTTGCATGCAGAGGAACCGCTTCACCCTGAAGGGTTTCCTTGTGGATTCATGTCAGCATAATGCTCAAAGGACCCCGAGGAAGAAATCATGGCAATGAGGACAGGGGATTCGTAAAATTTATAGTGCCTTCCTTATTTCCAACGTGAACGATACTTTCGTTGGATGGTTCGGAGGGGGCAGTCGGTCATGATCGGATGTTGCCGAAGATCCCACATCAGATTTCACAAGGGGAAGTCACCAGCATCCGGGTATTGCTGCTCCAGAAAATCTTTAATTGGGGGGGGGGGGGGGGGGGGGGGAACATTAAACGATGTGATTTTACATGGGCGGTTGTCAAAATTATAGCCCCTTTTTGGATACCCTGAATACTAGGTGCCGCATCATAGCGTACCCAAAAAGGGACCACAATTTTGACAACCACCCACATGTTCTACCACAATGCAAGTAAACACAATGCTGAAGAACTCAGGGGGTAGGACCTTACCGCGCCAACTCTGAAACCCAAGCCCTCGACCGACCGGACAGGCCCACATCAAGGAACCTCCATAAAGCCGCTATGAACCCTTGTACAATCCCTATAGAAAGCTGTAATACGTATAACACTCTTCAAGAAGATAACAACCTGTAACACCCTTAAATAGGATGGTAAGTTAACCCCCAAAAAATCCCCATGCGAGTCAATACGTTCCTATAAGAACTCCCAAGGTACGTCGAGCCCGGCGTCGGCTGTTTCACCACAGGCGGGGGGCTTTGTAGGGTTGAAAGATTGTCAGAAGGGCTTGCCACGCTTTCTATGGGGTCTAGGAAGAGTTTGCAATGTATCCCCTTATGCGTGCACCCATGAACCCCTATTCTGATTGTTCAGACCTCTCTATTTCGACGGTCTGCCAGTAGGGCTACAATGTCATTGTCTTTCCTTCGACTGATGTCACAACTTCATGCGACTGTTACAGTGGCCCTAAAAGAACTACTAATACTATTTTGATGCTTCTGAAGAGAACTAGAGTTTCATACGGACGTCCTCTTTTGGGGCTTCTGATGATAACTGTAGTATACTATGCGGCAAAACCTAGTCTATAGCTATTATTTCGCAGGCTCCGACATGAACCCGAGTCTGCTTCTTCAGGCCCTCATTTTAGGTTCCTACATAGGTGGTTGTCAAAATTATGGTTCCTTTTTGGGTACCCTCAATACTAGGTGCCGTACTATAGTAGTACCCAAAAAGGGGCCACAATTTTGACGAGCAGCCACATCCCTCCTACGGAGGATCTCAATGCAATGTCAGTAGGTGCTCTTTAATTAGGCGATGCTTGAGTCTGGAGGCTTTGGATATCCATAGGTAGGGTTCGGCAGGGGGCGTCTGTAAGACTGGCTCGGCAACGGAGTTGGGCACTTGCAACCCAGCTGGCATTCCTACTTGGAGGCTCATGGGTAGTTATATGCAGGGTAATTAGTAGGGTAACTATACTTATAACCCATATTAGGGGACTTGTAACCCCACTTATAGCTGCCCATGAACCTCCAAGTAGGCCTAAACCCTATACGCGTTCTAGAACTCCTATAGATCCCTTTAAAGGGACCCTTAAAGGAACCCCACTTATAACTACCCATGAAGCTCCAAGTAAACTGAGCTGCCAGGCTTCGACTGCTACGATCGCATCAAGGCTCCTTGCTTACGCCTTCGTCTAGGCGTAGGGCTGGTTACGAAAATTGGGGGGTATGTTCCTTATGATAAGGATCCTACCATTTAGGGTACTTACATTCTTTAGTCTCCTTAAAAACTATGTTTATTTGCGTTCATATAAAATCCAAGAGAAAATTACAAATGTATTTTTATTATGGTTCTAAGAGGGGTGTAGTTTAGGAGCTTTCAACCCCAAAGCCTTGAAACTCTAAACCCGGCATTCACGGAACCGACCAAAGACCCAGGGGTTCGAGTAGAGATCAGAGTGCGAGTGCGGGGATTCAGATTGGGGCAAAGTTCGGTGTACAATTAAGACGTAAACCTTACACGCCGTTTTTACATGCCGTAAAGTATGGATGTACCTTTACTACAATATGCGGCAGTGCTCTCTCTGGGGAGTTCATTCACTGACTGTGCGTGCAGCCTGCCCTCCATTTAAGCGCCGAATCCCCTGAGCGTAGTTCCTGGCTAGCCGAACTCCCAGCCCCAGAGACTCAAGCATGGCTTACTACAGGGGCCTCAATAATTACCGATACTGTTTTAAAGGGGGGAGGGGAGGGTTCCTTATTATAGTTATAGTCTAACGGGCCCCAAAACCCTATTCTAATTGTTAAGGCCCCTATATTCACAACACCAAAGGAGGAGAGGAGACGCAGGGCATCCAAAATCTGCAACTCAGATCCCAAATCTTTCAAACTCCCCTAAACCGTAAACCAAATCTTTCACACTCCAAAGCCCGAATGCTCCGCCTAAGGTGGCTTATCGGCAGCTCCTGAGCCAAGGAGGCACCGGCCGGGGAGTAGGGCCCTTTGCGGGGTTTCCTGATGTGCATCGCACCAGCAACCTGAAGAAAGTCCTTCCGTGGTTGACCGAAGACACATCTATACATACATATATATATATATATATGTAGATATCTGTATGTATATATCTATGTACATGATCCCCAAAGTCTCACTCACTTTTCCCGACAGCTCCAAAGTCTGCAGATGTTGAAAGCATGTGGCCAAGCCTGCGAAAGCCCTGCGAGGAAATCCCAAGAAGCGCTTACTTAAAGCCCCAAGTCCCACCGACAGCCCCAACAAGAGAGGAATCTGGGCCGACGGCGAGTACCACCCGGCCGCCGACGCCCCAACAACGATCAAAGTTGAAGGGTTTAGTTTTGGGGCGTAAGATGTTCAGGATTTGGAGGCTAGGATTGTGTATCTTTGCATGGGTAGGGTCCTATGTTTGCAGAAACCGAAGTCTTGACAGGATGTTTGCCTACTGCAAGAGGTCAGAGTGGTATTGTGATCCCCTCATAGTTCAGAAGCCTTCAACAATGTAACCGTCAGCTCGCAGCCTACACACCAAAACGATGGACTGTTGACGAAAACTCTTACTTATAACGTAAAGCCAAAGCCTTACACCCTAAATCCCTCGACCTTACCCCCCCCCAATCCTCAAGCCCCAAACCTTTAAACCTGAAACCCCCATCCCCGAAAACCCCAAACCCTGAGCAAAAGTGTCCCTAAACCCTAACCCCCCACACCAAAACTCCTCGAAACCTTAGTCCCACGATTGATGATGTAAATCCTGCATGACCCATAATAAGGAATATATGGGGGTTATGGTACATTCCTTATTATGGGTCATGCAGGATTTATATCATCAACCGCAGTACGAGGTTCAGGCACTCCTGCTGGCAAGGGATCCTGTTTCCCTGGCCTTGGAAGCTTGGCCTTTACTTCTGTGTGTGCAGCAATATGCATGTCTAGGGTTCATTATGGATTGTACACCTCTGAATGTATTACATGGTGTATGGTATTTGTATAAATATATCTCTATATATATATATATGTATAAAAATGTATACCTGCACAATTACCGTAATGAAAAAGTCGAACTTTTTTGCTAGGGTACTCAGCCCCTAAGCTTCGCAACGAGTTTGGGGCAATTTGGTCTCAGAGTTTGCAAAGTTTTGTGGGCTTTAGTGAGTTCCAAGTTCGGGAGTGCAGGGTGTATGGCTTCGGAGTCTCAGGCTTAGGGGTGTAGTACGGGGTCCTAAACAGAGCACGGAGGAGTAGAAGGGGTAGGAGTAGCGGGTGGAGTATTGGCAGGAGTCGTCGTCGGCACCGTAGGGTTCGCCGTCGTCTTCGTGAAAAGGCCACCAGGTATTCCGCTAGCTCCGAAATCCAAACTCAGCTGGGAGTTTCCGAAAATAGGGGACCAAAAATATAGTACCTCAAAAGTAGGACCAAAAATATAGTACCCCAAATAGTAGGATCCTTGTCCCCCACACAAGGTACCCCTAAGTTTCGGAAACTCCCAGCAAGATGCTAACAGCAGACTATCCTAGAAACCCGAATCCTTCTGGAATGAAAACTACCCCAAGAACTCAATCCTGGAGGGGCCTTAACTGAAAAATAGAAGAATAAAGCCTTGGGGTATACCGAAAGGAGGCCTATAAGGTAATGTGGATAATATGACGCACCAATGCTTCAGGCCCTACATCACAAAACACTACAGAAGAACTGGATCCTGCAAAAAAGGCAAGCCAATACCTCTACGTAAACCAAACAAAACTACCTGCAAAAGCTTCTTTCCGCTACACCATAATAAACTTTGTTCTATCGATTCAGGCAGTCGCCTAAATAAACAGTGATACAAGACCTTACAGAGCCCGTATCAACCCTATTCTAACATTTAAGGCCCCTGTGGTACCCTTTTTTCGTCGTTTTTGGGAGTGTCCGAAAATGGGTGCATTTTCCTTGTTATAAAGATCCTACCATTTAGAGTACTACATTCCAGAGTCTCCATTTTTGTGCATATAAAACCCAACAGAATATTGACAATGTTAATTTTTTAGGTTCGAAGGGGATATAGCATTAGGGTCCCTGATTTTCGTCGGGTTGAGTTCTGCAGACGACGCCAAGGAGCGAGGATTCGGAGCTCGTGCGGCCCTGCTGGGCGTCGTCTCTGCCTGGGATGGCGTCCTGGGTGCGGAGCGGCTTGGGGGCTTTGGGGGGTTTTAGGGTTTAGGGTTTAGAGTTTACGGGTTTAGGGTTTAGGGTTTATGTAGTTGTCGGGGGTTTGGGGTTTACTGTTAGCTTCATGCGCTTATATGTTTATATGGGCTTCATAGGCTTGGGGACTTTGGGGTTTTTTCGTAGGGGTCGGAAGAATCAGCACAGGTACCCCTTACAAAGTTATACATGTTGCTCCCCAAAGCCCACTTCTCGTAAGTGTTATCCAGGGTCCCGTATTACCGGCTTGGGGTTTGGGTCTGTTTAGTGTGGTTCGTTGGCACAGCTCCATCGGCTTAGTTGGGCTTCAAGGGGTTATGCCCTCCTCAATGAAGATTATGAACCTTTCAACAAGCCTGGGGTTGCGGGACTAAGGGCTTAGGAAGTTTCGCTGATAGGTTTCTAAAGGGTTTTGAGGTTTTGGGCTCGGGTGGGGGCTTTGAAGGGATGGGTTTCAGCTTCTTCCGGGCTGTGAGACCTAAACTGAGGAATCGGATTGAGTGAAAGGCTTTACTTGGAGGTTCATGGGCGGTTATAAGTGGGGTTATAACTTGTTTGGGGTTCCGTTAAGGTTAAGAGTTCCATAGGCGGGTTTAGGGTTTAAGTTCAGGTAGTTACAAATTGGGTAACTACACTCAATACCCATACTAAGGGACTTAATAACCCCACTCATAGCTACCCATGAACCTCCAACCATGACAGTGTGTAGAGTAGCCGCGCGATTCGGATTTCTTGCAGTTTTCAGTTTCGGGACGGGGGGGGGATAGAAAGCCCTGCACAAACCACGGATTTGAAAAAGAAGGGTGTTGGAAGCTGATGTCTGGGCGAAAGGAATCTTTCTGCTCCATCGCAGCACAGCTCTTTTGTTATGTAAGTAGGGTAAAGGATATAGACTGAGGTGTTCCTACCTTCCGGGTTGAGGGTTCAGGGTTTGAGGGAACAGTTGAGGACACAAAATTCTCAAGCGTTGGGACCCCGAGCTCTACGCAGTAAGTGTGCTGGGGCATACTTGGAGGTTCATGGGCAGTGAGAACTGGGGGTATAAGTCCCCTAATCTGGGTTGTAAGTATAGTTGCCCTACTTATAACCCGTCTTATATCTACCCATGAACCTCCAAGGATTGGGTTTGGACGCCTGCCAGGTTTGGGAGCTTCGGCGTTCAGGGCGTGATATAGGGCCTCAATTCTTGGAATGGGGGGTTGGAGTAGAGGATGCGGTACTACAGCTACAAAAGGACCATAAGGGGATACTACTGCCAAGCATTCCGACCCCGATTCTTCAAGGGTTCTGTCAGGATCTCCACAAGGGGAGGCTCCAGGCTGTTTTTGACCCTGAGCCCCAAAGCCTCGAATCCTTTCGCAGGAGATGGATTTCGGTGTGGCCAGGCTGGTCCCGGAGTATGGGAGGGGTCGCACAAGCGAGGGGCCTTCGAAGCCGACGAACAGAACATGAACTACGATGTTGGTGATCTGTTGTCTTCTGTGCTATGCATAACTAACTAACTGGCTTTCAGTCCATCTATCTGTATACGTCTGTAAGCCGCTTACCCAGCGCTCTCTGTGACTTATCTTATGGAATCTGATCTGGCTATCTGTCCAGTTGCCTGGCTACTATTGTGTAGTTTTAATTGCTGAGCTAGGCGGTTACAGTTCACAGGGGGGCACACACACACACACACACCCGGCTGTCAATAACAGGCTGTGAGCATTGCCATCTACAGTTTCTGTGTGCTTCGAAATGATGTATCTCTTCTTGAAAGCCCTTCTGCTAAGGGGCTTGTAAGAGATCTCCAGACAAAAAGCCCTGGCTGTTTGTCAGACCTGTGCCCCTCGACATCACCGTCTTCCTCCCCATGGACCTTCCCGGTGAGACGACGCCTTGCTGAAAGACTAGGTTCCTGAGTACCCTTTTGCACTTCTTTCTATTTTAGGGTCCCCGGATTAAAACGGAATAGTAGGGAAAGGGATAGAGTACCTTTTTGCCCTTTTTTGCTTAAGCCCCCCTTATTAAAACCGAATAGTAGGGAAAAGGATGCCCTTATTAAAGCCGAATAGTAGCAAAGAGGATACCCTTATTAAACCCGAATAGTAGGAGAAAGAATATCCTTCTTAAAGAGGGGCTACTCAGGAAACTTAGAAGAGGGCTTGACGCCTGACGCTTAGGGTGGAAGTCCAGGGTTTTCCCGGAATCAGAGGGCCCAATTCCCCTTACTCAAGGAATGTAAACTAAGCAGGGGCTTAGTACCATGATTTCAGGCAATTATGTATATTCCGTAAGTGCGGAACCATAAAGGGCTTGGTATTGTGATTTGTTGTATATTCTTGGATGAAGGGGTCTTGGGCTCTCTGGGTTAGTACTTCATGTGCATTCTGAGTCTTGGTCTCACCGAAGCTCCCAAAGCTCTTCGCGCGACACCCCAGCATCAGACCTTGAATGGAGGTTAGTGGACTTGCTGAGTACAGTTTTTGAGTGGGGCTATAACTTATGATAGGTAGACTTACCTTATTTATAACCCTAGCTACTAAGTCCCATGAACCTTTAAGTACGCAACGCGCCCGAAACCATTGAGCCTTATCGAGCCCCTAGACTCTAACGAAACCTGGAATTCCTATAGTACCCTTAGAGTAACCCTTATAGAACCCTTAAAGGATCCCGCAAAGGACCCTTAAAGGAACCCTAAACTCCGCCAAGCCGAAGCCTAGAACGGGAGCGGCCGAGGCAAGCAGGTGCAGAAGGATGCTTCCGACGCAAGGCGCACAGAAGATAAGAAATCACCATAAACCCGAAACACTATCATACAGGCACTGTAGTGAAAACCCTAAATACTTACCTTTGGCTAGCTTGGAATGGAGGTGTCCCTGGTGTTCAGAGACCCCTCAGAAAACCTTCGGGAAAACACGATAACCCTGGAGAAAACCCCTAGACAAGGCCTTTGTTCTAAGGAAACCCCAAAAAAGCTCATTATAACTAGAATATAACGGGCCCCAAAACCATATTCGAATCATTAAGGCCCCTATAGTCGCTGACTCTCTGTGCCAGTTGGAGGTTCATGGGTAGTTTTAAGTGGGGATATCAGTCCCCCAGTATGGGTTGTAAGTATAGTTACCTTACTTACAGCCACACTTATTACTACCCTAATCCTTAAACCCTAAACCCTATAGATCCCCCAAAGGAGCCCTAGTTTTTACCCGACTTAGAGGTACCAGTGAACCTGCAAGTATGCCAGGCCTCCCAGGGCGGCTGCGCTGGCTCCCACTCCCTGCGAGGGCTGTATGTGGCAGCTTATCAAGAGCCGGCGACTCGGGGCCGTTTCGGGGGGGTTTAGGGTTTGGGCTAATCCAAAATCCAAAAGAGCCGGCGACTAAGAGCCCTTCTTCGTAGCTGGGGAGGTGACCTCGACAAATGACAAGGTTAACCTTTTGTGGGGGCTAGGATACGCAGCCTCCAAGCCCTAGTCCACCCCGAAGCCCTCTGGAGGACCTGGGGAAAAGGAGCCCGAACAAGTGTCGGAATTTGTTCCAGGGTCCTCAAGGGGACCCTGCGTGAGAACCTAGCTGGTTTACATCGAGAGCTGGTGGCTCCAAGTCGCTGCCTGCGTATGCACGTATACATACACATAATATACAATGCATGTAAATATAAGTATAAGATATATATATATATATATACTTATTTATTTATTTATTGTATACGTATATGTATATGTAACTGTATGCGTGTGTGTATATATAGATATATTTTATTTTTTACTTATACATGTACTGTACACTCTCAAGCCCAAGAAGCCCAAGGCCGGGATGGAAGCGGACCTTGGATGAGCCCGACCTGACTCGACGGGGCTTCTGGCCACCGCCGGATCCGCCGACTCTTCGGTCTGGCAGTTAGCTTAGGGGTACTTAGAAACAATTTTTGATTTTTGGTTATTATAATCCCTGAGAAACAGCTAAAATTATGATTTTTGCTAGGGTTCTAAGTTCAGTATAGTTAGGTCCTTTAAAAGGTAACAAACAAGGAAGCTTTAAGGGATCTATAGGGTTTGCGAAAGGGGTTGAAGGGTTCCTTTAAAGGGATCTAAACGGGTTCAATGAGGGATCTACATAGGAGTCTAGGGGTTGAGGGCTTAAGGTGTCTAAGGTTTAGGGTTTGAGGATATGGGACTTTCCGAAATTAGGGGTACCATATTTTGGGGTCCTTATAATAAGGATCCTACTATTTAGGGTACTATATTAGGGTCCCTTATTTTCGGAAACTCCCATATAGGGTGCGGTGTAGGGGTTGAGGGCTTAAGGGGTCCAAGGTTGAGGGTTTGGGGATTTAGGGTTTAGGGTTAAGGGGCTTAGGGTTTAGGCAGTCAGATTTGGGAGTTTCCGAAGGTTAGGGGGTACCTTAGGGTTCCTTTAAAGGTTTACTCTAAGGGTTCCTCCAGAGGGCTCTATAAGGGTTTAGAGTTTTCGGAGTACCTGCTTTTGGGATCCTTATAATACGGATCCTACTACACTACGGTTGATGATATGAATCCTGCATGACCCTCTAATAAGGAATATACCATAATTCCAATGCTTTAGGGTCCTTAAGGTAATGCAGGATTTATATCATAAACAGTGGGGTCCCTATCTTCGGAAACTCCAACCTGTCGCTTCAGCCTTTGTGGTTTAGAGCTTATTTACGTTGGGGTTCTATCTTTAAGGGTTTAGGGGGCCTTGTGATTTCAGGCTTTGTGGTTTGGGGCGTCAGGATTCTGGAGCATTCAGACTTGCGGGTTCGGGCTCTGGGTTGTTATGGGCTTCAGAGTCCTAGAGCCTCGGGACTTTAAGGTTTCAAGGTCTTGTGGTTCAGGCTTTGGGGTAAAGGGCGTTAGGGCAGTTACTGCTTCAAGGGTTTAGGGTTGAAGGTCTGGGGTTGCGGCGTCGGATAAAGCGTTTCAAAACTTGCGCTGTTCAGGATGCGGTGGATTTAGGTACTCTACAGTGCCCTCTGTGCCATGGCAAAGGCACCCCTTTGCCTGTTGTCAGAGGGATGCTCGCAAAGCCAATGGTAGGGATCAGCTGGGTGCCCCCATACAGTAAGAGTCGATAATAGGGCTACTATTAAAATCCTGATATATCTATGTTGTGAATATTACCCAACCGTTACTGAGTGCGGGCAGTACCCCAGGGATGAGCTTTAATCTTGAGAGGGGGTTGGAGGTAATGTAGGAACCTGATTAGGAAACCCTGGGCCTATAACCCCAAAATAGTAGGGTTCATATACGGAACCCTAGTAAAGGCCCAAGGTTTCTTAATCAGGTTCCTACATTACCAGGTAGCTTGAGGCTAGAAACCTCACTAGCGTTTAGGTCTTGACCGACTCTGCCTGCTGAGCAGTAGGCCCGGGTTTGGCTCCTGACATGGACATATAGCCCTTAGGAGTTACTCCTCAAGAATCGAAAGAGACCCCGCGAGTTTCGAGAAATGAGCTCATCGCAAATTCTGAGCTGGGCTTTTGCGCGCAGACCCCCGAAAGGATCGAGAAAGTGGATCCCTTGCTAATGGGCATTCCTGTAGAGCCTTTAGTAGTAAAGGGGTTCTAACTTTGGGCTTATTCTACTTTCTAGGTCCTGCCAGGGTCTGGGCAGTCAAGTCATGCAGCATGCATATACTTTGCAAAGCTCATGGGTGCAAACATCTTCTCGGTCCTTGTCTTTCACGGAGAATCTCGACGCTAGATCCAGTCCCAAAGGGCATTGTCAGAATACACATTTAGTGGATAAGTTGTACAGTATTACAACATGCCAGAACTTTATCAAGAAACCTGAAGCTACAGGAATACTATACTACAATGACATCAGGGAACCTAAAGACTATTCAGACTATTCATGACCAGAAGCCGAAGTGCATTGAGGATCGATGAGGCCATCTACGTTCCGCATAACGACGTCTTCAACTCCTTCCTCGACCGCTGGGTGCAGATGCTTCTCGGATGTTTGGCTCAGAACCAAGTCTCCATAGTGTCTTTAGGATTTTTCTATTTTTGTTCATATAAAACCCAAAACAAGATTCTAGCCAGGCCTACATACCCCTCAGATAGCCTTTCTGTATTCCTGGGGCCCTAAACCCTTAATCCTGGAGCCTTCGAGGTTTCAGCTGTCCCCGAGCTTGGACGAGATTGTAACTTACCTGAGGCCGGCGGTTAGGGTTTTAGTGTTTAGGAGGGTTTAGGGGTTAGGGTTTAGGGTTTAGGAGGGTTTAGGGGTTAGGGTTTTAGGGGTTAGGGTTTAGGGGTCAGGGTTTAGGGTTGGTCGGGTTCAGGAGCTTAAGATAGCCTGATCTAAGTAGCCATATCTGATGATACTTGTACTATGATTTACCGCCACCATATTCTAATTATTCAGGCCCCGATATTAGGGTTTTGGGGCTTCTCAATCGCTCCGTACGGGTTGCTAAGAAGATTTCTCTGATTCGCTAATTCAAGCGCGACCTTGGCGAGGGGTAAAGCCAAATGAACACCAGATCACAGACTCTCTCTGCCTGCTCAGAACCATACAAATATAGTTCCTACACCATCATCCGAAAGCCATATTCCAGGTATGAAGCCTGTTGAACAAGAATAGCTTTCTGCCTATTGTGTTTCTGCAGGGATTCTTTCGATTCACCAGTACCTAGCTGTTGATTCAGTGGGCTTAAGCCGCACGGATTTCGCGCAGCAATGATATGAGAAATGGTAACAACCCTTTATCGTAACCCTTATCATAGCCCATCCTGGTAGCACCCCCTTACAGTAGCCCTACTATCGTACCCCTTAGAGTAACCCGGTTGTAACAATCTAGGTAGGCCTTTGGGACATTTTATATTTTCCCTTATTGGGCTTAATAGGATCCTCTTTACGAATATTTTTCAGAGGCTTCAAAGGGCCAACCTAGCAATTATCACAACCAGGCAGTTCCAGGAGTTCCTTCCCACCGAGTTTGCGGAAAGCCTGGGACCAAGCCGGACGGGGGGGGGGGGTTGGTTAGGGCGTTCAGGGCTAGGGAGTGGAGGGTTTTGGGGTGACGGTAAGGTCTCGAGACATTGGTTTGGAAATTGTGGGGTTTGGAGGGATGGCTCGGCAGCCGAAAAGCAGGGACCAGGAGCCTTGAAATCGACCCAAGGAATCCGTCGTCTAAGAATCTTAAACCCCAGACCCCACATCCTAAACCCCAAAATCCCAAACCCAAAGGAGGCGGCTGAAATACTATACCTTGGGTACGGCCCCCACTCAGTTGAAAACTATTCTTAATATGGATATATTCGGACCTTAATAGTAGCCATATTCTAGGCTCTTACTGTATGGGGGCAGAACCTAAACCATACCCTTAGTTTCAGGGTGGCGGAAGACTCCATCACGCGAGCCCCGAGGATGGAGAGAAGACTACAACCTTTCGTTTAATATATCACAGGGGAAAAGGAGGGACCCTTAATGGGGACCCCTACGCTATAATGGGCTATATAATGGGTATATAATAGCTATATTAATATTAAGCGTATATACCTAAAGGTCCTTTTTAAGGGTCCCTCCTTTTACCCTTGGAATCTAGGTGCCTGAGTAATTAAAGTACGGTTGCTTTTAAGCGGTTCTTCAGGTGGTCTTTCGGGTTACCATAAGTGTTTAGTATAGGGGCCTCCATAGTTAGACTGGGGCTTTCGGGTATGTACTACGAAAATCCATATAGGGGAACTCCGAAATAGTATTTGCTATGGGCGGGGTAGGTACCAGTTTGGGGCTTGTGAAATCTTACCATAACTGAAGTCTAACCCTTTTTGGTTTAGGATACTCAGCCCCTTTCTATGGTGTCCGGCAAGTCGAGCCGCAGTCGAAGATGCGTATTTAAAAGAAAGAGCATCAGGGTTGAGGAGCAGGTTTAGGGTTGGGGGTTCAAGCTATTCTTTATGAAGGTCTCACACGATTTTCGTAGAGGGCTTATAAGGTTTGAAGCGGGGTTGTATATTTCTTCTATAGGTTTTACAGGGGGTTCGGGAGTGCAGGAGCCGAATACGATGCTGAACAAGGATCCTACTATGTCGGAGCTAGAGAAACCAATTCCGCTGAATGGAGCTTTTCCGAGGGTCCGCTAGCATTACCTGTTTCCGTAGGGGTACTTAGAAATGATTTTTAATTGTTGGTTATTATATTCCCTGAGAAACAGCTAAAATCATAATTTGTGCTAGGGTTCTAAGTTCAGTATAGTTTCAACTGCAGCGTCTCTCGAGAAAGGTTTTTGCACAGGAGCAGAATTTGGGTTCTGCGGGCAACCGAAGTTTGTATCAACCCGCAAGTCTTTCGGAATCTTAGATCCTCGCTGTATGTACTTGGACTTGGAGGTTCCTGGGTAGTTATTAGTAGGGTTAGAAGTAGGTGAACTATATTTATAACCCATACTAGGGGACTTATAAGCCCAATTTTTAACTACCCATGAACCTCCAAGAAGGCCCTAAACTCTATACCCTTGCAGAATCCCTATAGATCCCTTACAGGGACTCTTAAAGGAACCCTACTTAGAACTACCCATGAACCTCCATCGGAACGACAATTACCACTACTCGCGATCACGCACCCAAGCCTTCCCTTGCGTTCCTCTCCAGGGCGACACAGGCGCCTACACAAATACCCAGAGAGCCCAATACCCCTTAGTTAAGGAATATACCTTAATAATTATTAGGGGCTTCATATTATGATTTAAGCTATATTCCTTAATTGAGGGGTATTGGGCTTTTTGGTTTTTAGTCTTCGGGCTCCTGATTACAAGTCCCTTATAACCTGGCTCAAACCCTTATTCTAACTATTAAGACCCCTATAGTACGTGCCCGCGGGTAAGGCCATTGACTGACTTCAGGGCTGTAGGCATACGAACGGCGGACAGTGATGGCCCGTAAGACATTGAATCTTTCTTCACTTCCGAGGCTGGGGCAAAGAGAGCTCCCTCATAGAGCTCAACAACACCTACAACTGATGTGCAGGGAAGCAAAAACGCTCGCATTGTGTTGGAAGTTGGTGCTGCCAGGTTGAAGGTTATTGGAGGTTCATGGGTAGTTAGAAGTAGGGTTAACAGTCGGTTCTAAGTATAGTTACCCGGCTTCTAACCCTACTCATAACTGTTAACTACCCACGGACCTCCAAGTTGAGACTTTATGATGTCAGAAGCATCTCATTCAGCAGCTTCGCCATATTCCACGACTACCTACTAGTCTCTGCCAGGCAGCTACATCTCGTGTGCACTCACCGGGGCGTAACTATCAGATCCGTATCCCCTCACGCATACTACTGCGAGAAATTCTAATGCCGTTTTTCATATCATCCGCATTCCAGAGTTGCAGACTCTTGGGAGCCACCTGCCTCCTCCAGTGGCTAAGCCTAAGCAACTACCAATATAGTTCCTAGCGTTCCTTATTAGAATACCATACAGCATTAAGGGCCCTATATCAGCCTTCTGCACATTGCGTCTGGAGTCTGCCTCAAGCTGGTTGTTTCCGCCACCGTTACTTGCAGCTTCATGGTTATAAGTGGGGTTATATGTCCCCTAATCTGGATTATGAGTATAGTTACCCTACTTATAACCCTACTTATAACTACCCTAATGGAACAAAAGGTTATACTTCTTTCTCCCTGGTTACTTAAAGGCCCAGTAGAACTACCCATGAACCTCCAAGGAAGCAGCAAAGACGTCAAAGCACATCACAATTGTTTGAGCCAGCATAGAGGGTTCAGGTTCTGTCAAAAAGAAACCTGGACAATTACTAGTACTCTTCCTTGGGGTTCTTTCGTCTACTTATAGCCAAAAATTACACCCGAAAGCCTAAATGCAACGGTCAAGGCCCTGTCTTACTGCTTGGGCTCGTGGTTTGAAGCTCCATCCTTGCCATTACAACCTCCCGAGAACATGAAATCCGCAACGAAGGGGCCGTAAGAATTCAGTAGGCCTTTCGGTGCACAATGTAGCGTAGTTTTTGAGCATGTAGGGATGATTGGGGGATACCATTGCTAATTTTTGTTAGGGTCGTTGCTTATGCGGAACTCCCTCGCAGACAACTCTGCTGGCCCACCCAACCCAGCGAGCCCCACACCCGGCAATCAGGAAGCTGGATATCATTTATGGTGTTTTCCTTGTTTAAGGGAGCAGAAGCCTACAAGCCTGTAAAGACTTGCATGGACCTGTCCAAAAACCTTTACAAAGTACCTACAATGTTCAACTCCACCAGCGCAAGTTTGTGTTGTTCTGTCTTGGACTCTCCAACCCTGAATCCTGAAACCGGAGACCCTAAAGCAGTCCCCATCTGCCGAGGGCAGAGTATGTCCCGGCATAGCAGTCACAGCACGTTCAACTACTTAGAGGATCATGGGACTTAGTAAGTAGGTTATAATGGGGGTTATAAGTCCCCTAAGTGGGGGTATCCTAATTGTAACCTACTTATAACCTTACTTACTAAGTTCCATGAGCCTTCAAGTGCATCTAAACACCCAACCCCTAGACCATAAGACCCAAACCCTAACCCTTGAATGCCACGTCAACAGCCCCCGTTGGCGCCGCTTGCTTCAAGGATCTTCAAGGCAAGCAGGTCTGAGTACATGGCAATTCTACTTACCACCCTCAAGCCGCGGCAGAAGTTCGCATCCTCACTCCGGGCGCAGTGCATGCATTCTTTCTTCCACTTTCTTATGTACCCACATGGTACAAAGCACGCGAGGCTTCCCTAATATTGGGACTTGCTGTTATAGTTGTTGTGAATATGCCCTAGGGGTATTTAGGGTCCTTCGGTTTCAACGGCTTAAACCAGCAAGTGTCACCCTCGAAGCATGTAGCTCTGCCATGTGCATCATAACGCGGGTAAAGAGCTCATGCTCCTTTAAAAAGCTTTCGGTTTCTCAACATTCAGGGTTTAGGGCTCCGGACTGGGGTCTTGTAGGACTGGGGATCTAGGTCTCCGCCCTATGACTAACGCCCATGCCAGCTGTCCACGAGCATGCTGCGAGTGAGAATGCTCTCGGGGGAGTGGGTGGCGAGCATGCCTGTGGAGGAGTTGAGCGACGTGAAGTCATTGAAGCAGCGGCTTCATAGGCTGCACGGTTTGCCTACACGGTTCAGGCAAAGACTGTTTCATGAAGGCAGTCTCTTGCACGATGATGCCCAGATCAACTCGATTCGGGAGATCAACTCGAATCCGGACCTAGAGTTGCTCCTACTTCCGTATCAACCGGCATCTCAGACCTCAGCAGATGAGCTGGTGACTGCCGCCAGGAACGGCTTCGTGAACGAGGTTCGTGTTCCCCGACCATACTTCACCTTCGAACCCTCAAGTAGCCGTTCCCGCTACGAACTTTGGGTGGACTTGTTAGAAGTCCCAGCTTGAGTGCCCGCAGGTTGAGGCCGTGTTGCAGAAGCCGCAGGACCCCGACTCAACCGATGCAGACGGCAAACGTCCGTTGATCATGGCATCTCTTGAAGGCCACATTGAAGTGGTGCGTCTGCTGCTGGAAGCAGGTGTGAACAAGGACATGGGCAACGATAACGACGGCTTCACTGCCCTGATGGCCGCTTGTCGAGAAGGCCATGTTGAAGTTGCGCGCTTACTGCTAACAGCCGGTGCCGACAAGGACACTGCCGACAACGACGGTGTCACTGCGCTGATGCGCGCTTGTTTACCAACAAACGCTGAAGTTGCACATTTGTTGCTGGAAGCAGGTGCCGACAAGGACACTGCCGACAAGGACGGTGTCACTGCGCTGATGGACGCTTGTTTCGCAGTCCACGTTGAAGTTGCACGTTTATTGCTGGAAGCAGGTGCCAACAAGGACGCTGCTGACAATAACGGTACCACTGCACTGATGGTCGTTTGTTCAATGGGCCACGTTGAACTTGCGCGGCTGTTGCTAGAAGCCGGAGCCAGCAAGGAAATTGCGAACAACGACGGCTTGACTGCCCTGAGGATGGCTAGTCAAGCAGGCCACGTTGAAGTAGTGCGCTTGCTGCTTGAGGATAGTGAGTGCCCACGGTGATTTTGCCAAAGAAGAAGGCTGTGCTGAAGTTGCTCGCTTGCTGCAAGAGACCGGCTCCAACAAGACCGTGCAGTGCACTTGGTACTTCCGTTCCCTTGACTGTAGTGGCCACCGTCGTCATCGTGTACGAAACCCTAAACCCTACCTTTTGCTAAGCCCTGAGCCTCGGATCCTGTTCTGTGAGTCCAACGTAGACTCGGCCGTGGCGCGGCCTTCTCTTGGTCATAGTTGGATAACTTGTTGCAGTTTTATGGGTACTTAAACCCAACAAGGCATAAAAGTGTAAATTTTTAATCCTATCCCAACCATGAACTAGTTCTCATGGAGCCACAGAGCTCCAGGAATTGAATAGAGCTGTCCGAAACCACATGAGATCTGAAGATTCAAGGCTTAAGGCTTTCGAGCTCAAATGCCAGCATTACTCTACTAATGGCTGTTCTGCGATGTTGAGCCTAGGGGCGAGGACGTTAAATCTCATCCCTTTCAGGGTCCTTGGGTCTTAATTGCGAGAGCTCCATCCCTGAACCCCGAGTCCTGCAATCTTGAACCGAAACGATGCAGGCCGCTAGGACAGTTCCTAGTTTTCCTCATTGGGTTTAGGGGGATCTCGTTTGAAGCCTTGAACCCTCAAACCCCCAAACCCTGCACCCTCTTTTTCAAGTGAGTGGTTGTCAAAATGATGGTCCCTTTTGGGGGCCCCTACATACTAGGTGCCGTATTAGAATAAGGATCCCAAAAGGGACCCTAATATTGACAAACTCCCAAGTGTAGTTGAAGCCCAAACCTAGGAACAATGGAAGCCTGGAGGCTTGCAGTCCTGCTCCTTGCAGGTTCATGCGTAGTTATAAGTAGTATAGGGGTCTTAATAATTAGAATCGGGTTTGGGGGGTATACTATACGATATTTAGTTCATAATAAGGAACCCCCGAAACCCTATTCTAATGATTCAGGGCCCTACGGTACGATCCTAAGTAGGGTAAGATATTTGAGTCCAGCAAGCGTTTCTTGTGCCCCAAACCCAGGCCCGATTTCGCGAGTTAAGGGCCACAAAATACTACAAATGCGGTGGACAGGGTCTTTCTGATCTATTTTGCTGTCCGTCGAATGTTGTCGGGGGTTCCGCTTGGATCGAAGTTTGGGTCTAGAGTTGCAGGAGGGCTACAACGACCCAGGATTAGTTCTTGAAGTGAGTCTTCGTAAGGCCAACCCTAAACCCTAAACCCTAAACCCAAACCCTGTCATGATGAACAGTACCGTTTGAAAACTGGCCCCGGCAGCCTGGAAAATGCGTGTCTTGTTTCATTATCTTAGTAGCTGAGTGGATACACTTCACACTTTTTTGGGATAAGAATACCCACTATAAAACTGAAAGTGTACACTTCTGGGGGGCTTATGAACTCAGCAACTAAGTTATTGCTCTTTGCAATAATGGCTGGAGAGCAGATCGAAGATCAGCAGTAACGGAGGATGAAAGCCAGCGTAGGATAGAAAAGTAACACCTGTAACTCGCAGGAACCCTTTTGAGTTCACATGCAAGCAATAGAACCCAAATTGACGTGTGTACGGTGAAAAGTACCAGTAACGACGGCGTGGCTGCAATCATGTTACGCCGACGCGGTTGCCGTCGTCGTGGGCGTCGTCGGGTCCTGCAAAACCACCCGTAAAACAAATAGACTCGAAACCGACATCGTTTGGCTCAAGCGGTTTGGTTCCTGCCACCTGAAAAAAAGTCGGCAAAGATGGTGACTAGGTGGCACTTTGGGAGACCTTTTGAATTCCCCTTATGGTTCCTTAAGAGGTACCTAATCATAAATATGGGTGGTTGTCAAAATTTTGGTCCCTTTTTGGGTACCCTAAATATTAGGTGCCGTATTACAATAAGGACCCAAAAAGGGACCCTAATTTTGACAACTACCCCACATTTTATAAGGGCCCCGAAACTACGACCCAGGTGAAGTTCTCCCGGGACGCCTCGAACCCCAGCAAGTCCTGCAAGGCCGGGCCTCATGGACATCCTGCGGGAGTATCGGGCCTTAATCTTACCTTAAGTTAGTAGGGAATGGAAGAATGGTAGTAATAATAGTTATAATTGTACCCCATACCTCCGTTCCCTAAAGGTAAGTAATAAGTAGAATAAAGCTCTTTTGAATGAGAACAATTAGAAAAGAACTCCTTCAAAAAAGTTAAGGGTCCTATAAGCGTCGAAAAATTACAGTTTGGAGGAGTTACCCCGCAGGAGTATAGAAGCCTGAATGATTAGTACTACTATTCTTATCATAAATATAGACTAAGATATCCCAAAAAGCTTGTTCTAGTTGCGACGGCTCCTATATGACGCAAGGTACGGAATATACCATAGTTTCCCACGGTTTAGGTACTGCAGGGGTCACCACCCGCGATGCGCTATCTCAATTCATGAACACTTCGGAACCGAATAACCAGGCAGCCCAATACCCCTTAATTAAGGAAAATACTTTAGATTATTAGGGGCTTCATAATATGATTTCAGCTATATTCCTTAATTAAGGGACATTGAAGCCCCCTGAACCCTAAACCCTATAGATCCCTTAAAGGAGCCCTATAGGCCGAAGGTATTCCTTAATTAAGGGATATTGGGCTCTCTGGGTAACCCTCCTGAATCTCTTCGAGGCGCAGGGTGTGGACCTCCGTGTCCACTACAAGAACACCTATGAGACTGCCCAGGCAACCCGGTCCAGGGTGGGTTTAGGGTTTGGGGTTTAGGGTTTAAGGTTTGGGGTTTCAGGTTTGGGGTTTAGGATTCAGGGTTCAGGGTTTAGGGTTCAAGGTTTAGGGTTTAGGCATCAGGGTTCAGTGTTTAAGGTTTAGGGTTTAAGGTTTGTGGTTGAGGGTTTAGGGACTGCCCAGGCAAGCCGGTTCAGGATTGAGGGCCTGGGCTTTGGGATGTGGGTAGTTCTCCAAATTAGGGTCCCTTTCAGGGTCGCGTTAACCAGGGTTAGGAGTTGGGATGTAGAGTGTGGGACTTAGAAAACGGGAAGTCTTGCTGTGCCCACCGGTAATATCAGTGGGAGGTACCAGCTTGGTGATGCCTCCTGCAAACTCTGTCAACATATGGGAGTTTCCGAAAATTAGGGGTACCTTATCCTGGGGTCCCTATAGTAAGGATCCTACTATCTAGGGTACTATACTAGGGTCCCCTATTGTCAGAAACTCCCATATTTTGAACCTATGAGCACCATCACCTCGGGGTCTCGTGCCCTTACAACTGTTGCAGCAGATGCGATGTGCTTGTGAAGACCACGACTTGGCTGTCGCTTGTCGATATCGCTTGCTAGTCTTGGCGTTCTTCTGGTGGGCTCTTTAGACTTTAACTTTTTTGGGTTTCTATGTGAACTATAATAAGGAGGCTAGAAGTTTAACTTTTAGGATGGGTTCAGAAGTCCGCCAAGTAGTGTTCTTATCGTATGACATACCCCGAGACCGCTCTTCCACAGGCTGTCAAGGGTATGACTCTCTCTGCGGCCAAGCAGTATCTTGAGGACCCGGGTTCTTGTTCGGGGACCTGCCTTGAACGACCAAAACCTAGCCTAGGATGCCCAGTAGTACCCTTATTCCCTTTTTGTAGTCCTAGGTTCCTTATAAAGGTACCCAATACCAAAACGGGAGCCCTTAGTTTCGTCGGGATTCAAAACAGGAGTCTGGAAGTTGCAATCCCGCAATAGCTCGACACAAACCAGGAGCCTGTAAACGTTAAACCCTCCAATAGCTTGACGCAAACCGCACCCTGCAACTTGCAATTCCACAACATTGTATTTCTCACTGGCTTGATGCAAAAAATCTGGAAAGTGTAATCCCTCAAAAGCCTGATCCAGAACAGGAGCATAGAAATTGTCATCCCCCAATACCTTCACGCGAAACAGCAGCCTCGGAACTGCTGCTCGCACAATCACATAAGTCAGACTTGACCAATGGCACGCTGTCAAACATATGATTTACGTATGTGTTGATGCATTTGCATTTTGATCCCTGGATTATTTGTTGATGCATTTTGAGCTTTTTGATGCCTCACCCACACAGTCGTCGCCCAGCAGCTGCTACACGTTGCACCACGGAAGTCACATGTGAAAAGCATGCTAAGCATTGTCAGGATTTCAAGCAGGCTTCCTGTTAGGATCCGTGTCATACTCGATCCTTGCATACCAGAGCGAGGATTCCACAAGAGGCCCACTCGTGTTGTGATACGGTTGATGATATGAACCCTTCATTGCCATAACTGATGACCCTAGACTGTGTTCTGGTACACTCCTTATCATTAGGGTAATGCAGGATTTGTATCATCAACCGTAACTGTCACCCTTGAACCGTGCGATCTTCCTGTTAAGAAGAGAAAGGATACCCTTAGGTCTCCGGGAGTACCGGGAACCTTAGGTAGCGGTCACATTGATTTTTCCGACTTGTGTGGAGATCGGGGGCAGAGTACAGCATCTCATTCCGACCCCTTTATTGTCCATGTCGTTCCGAAAGGGACCATGGTTTCGAGTTAATATCGAAGCTTGAATAATTGTTGCTAGTATCTCATGCTGGTATGATCCCCCAAGTCCATATTCTGATCATCAAAGCCCCTACATTACCCCATTGCTGATATACTACAATGTCCCCAAACCCTATCCGAATGATCACGGCCCTTGTAGCCTATATTATGGAACACTACTAGTAGCCCCTTTAAGGGACTCCTTTTAGCAACCCCGTTCTTGTCTTTCAGGCACCTCTATCAGAGCTACCCCTTGGGTACTGCGCCCACTCAGTAACAGTTGGATAATATTCATAATATAGAGATATAAGGACCTTAATAGTAGCCCTAGTCTAGACTGTTACTGTATGGGGGCCGTACTCAAAACCCTAAACCCCTAAACCCTAGACCCCACACGTCGACCCCAGGCCTTCTCTGCATCCGAGTCTGGCGCAGGATGTTTGCGAGAAGAAGCGCTGCATTCCCTTCCGCAAGTACACCGGATGCATCGGCCCGGAACTTACGATACTATATATAGGGGCCTTAATCGTTACCCATGTTAAGGGTTACTTTTAAAAGGGTCGATAAGGGTTGCTATAATTAAGAGGTATTAGGGGGGCTTCGTATAGGGGCCTTAATCATTACCACTACTATTCTGGGGTTCCTGATTATAATTGTAATATAGAGGGACCCAAAACCCCATTCAAACTTTTGAGGACCCTATATGGGAGTTTCCGAAAATTAGGGGTGCCTTATATGGGGTCCCTATAATAAGGATCCTACTATTTAAGGTACTATATTCGGGTCCCCATTTTCGGAAACTCCCATATCTGCATTTAGAGTTGAAGGTTTCGGCTTGAGGAGTTTGGTTTACTTAGAGGATCATGGGAATTAGTAAGGGTTCTTAAAGGGCTCCTTAAAGGGATCTATAGGGTTCCTTAAAGGGATCTATGGGGTTTAGGGTTTAGGGTCTACTTAGAGGGTCATGGGACTTAGTAAGTAGGTAATAATTGGGGTTATAAGTCCCCTAAGTGGGGTTATCCTAATTATAACCTACTTATAACCAGAGGCAACGAACCTGCAACAAATATGCCTTTTGGTTTTCATCTCGACTAGTGTTCGCTCAATTTCCGATATCGGTTGGGTCCTCATCAAAAGCGATGCTTTGTTTCTGAGTGCCATGTTGGCCCCTCTCGCTCTCTCAGCCGCATGTCGAACCCTGTCGCTTCCGTTGCAGGAATCAAATTCTCTTCCCTCTGCAGTTACGCACAGATACCACTCATTGCCTCGCTTTGCATCCGGCTGTTGCCGTCTAGGGCCCTGACTTAGTAAGTCCCATGAGCCTTCAAGTAGGGTTTAGGAGGTTGTGCTGGGGATTTGCTTTCGTGAGGCGACTCATGTCATGGGACCGTGTTCCAGAGTTTGGGGGGGGTTTTGGGGTTGTCGTGGCATGCAAAAGCGTCCGTGGTCGGATGCGGATGCTCGACAGTATGAAAACAGGTCCGTTTCCGGTTTTGCTGCCAATGCAGGGTCGCTCTGACAGTATGTGGGCTGCAGTTTGTGTGCCCTTAGACAGCTTGTATCATGATGATTAGTTGTTTTCCTGGCTTCACTTGCATAAGCATCCTTGCGACGGCTTCACTTCTCGCAGTTGTATGATGAGTACGCGGCAGCAGAAGTAGATGCAGAAACGAAAGAAGTGCTGAAGGAGACAATCCTGCATTGTCCGCAGTACAAGAATCCACAACAATGCCCATGCAGAGTTGAGGATACCTGAATATCCATAGCGTAGTGCAGAATTTTGTCCATCAGTGCAATTGGCCCTTCTTTCTCAACTCTCCTCAATAAGCCGCCACGAAGGTCGCACCCCTCAGGCCAAGGCACGACAAGTTCCTCTCTTCGGGCTTGATGTGAAGTCCTGCTGTTGGGTACCAAGAAGAGTTGGTTCTTCCAGGGACTTCAAGCCAAAGGTTTGAGATTCAGATAGAGGAGAAATATCACACATATAAGTATAGATATGTATATACATATAATTATATACGCCTAATATACGATCACATCTGAGATAATGTATGTGTATGTATGCCTCTGTGTATATCTGTATATACAATAAGAGTGAGGAGAGAGACAGAGAGAGAGAGAGAGAGAGGGACAGAGACAGAGCAGAGACAGAGACAGACAGAGAGAAAGAGTGTGTTCGGTCTCTGGCTTGGTGTTTAAAACGCTGGAGATTTTGTGAGCGAGGACGAGGCAGGGCTTTGCTTAACCACGGGGGCTTTTGCCTTTTCCCTGCTGCAAGCCGCTTAGGAGTTCAATACCGGGCAGTTGCACTTGGAGGTTCATGCGTAGTTGTCATATAAGTCCAAAATATGGGTTATATATAAGTATAGTTGCGCTACTTATAACCCCCATGAACCTCCAAGCACTACAGCGCCTCCACTCCTGACGGCTTAAACCCAGATTGCCCAATACACACTCCTTCGATCGGCAGCAGATGTTTTGCTGCTCTGAAGCCAGCTCAGAATTATTTGGGTCGGGAAAACAGAGAAGGGCTCTGCCGGATTCTGGGACTTACTGCAGAGTTTGGTGGTTTAGGTTTTTTGGGTCGGTATTCACGCAAAGGTATACAGAAGACCAGTCTTGAGGCTCCCAGATTCCACAAAGCCCACTGCCCCTTTCTTAAGGGTTGGTGACTTCGAGATTCCTCTTACATACCTTAGGGTATCTTCCTCACTCAAGGGTTGTGGTGTTCCCGGATTAGCCCCTAAGATTTAAGCTTTAACCTACTTGTAGGTTCATGGGTAGTTACCCTACCTATAACCCTACGTATAGCTGCCCATGAACCTCCAAGCAGTCCCAAGCTGCGCTATCACTCCGAATGCCTGGCAGGAGTTCAAGGCCACGCAGGGCCGCTGGCCAGTCTGAGCCTTGATACCAGCCTTGTCCTTTTTCATGGTTCCCCCAAAAGAATAAACAGACCGGCTAGTAGACCCTCTTAAATAATTCCTATTAAGGGATATAGGTATAGGACTCTGTCTAATATTTCTGAGCATTGATACGTCGGAGGCCTCAAAAGGTGGGATGAAGGTAGGTGGGATATTCCCAAATAAGAGTCCTTATATAAGGGATCCTTTATCATACCTACCTTCATCCCACTTTTTGAGGCCTCTGAATACAGGGCCTGAAAATTTGACTAGGGGCTCCTTTAATAAAAGGGTTCCTTTAAGGGTCATTTTAGAGTGGGGCTCCTTAAAGAGTTCCTTTAAGGGTTATTTTGGAGTAGGGGCTCCTTTAGAAGGGTTCCTTTCAGGGTCATTTTAGAGTAGGGTTCCTTTCAGGGTTGTTTTAGAGTTGGGCTCCTTTATAAGGGGTCCTTTGAGGGTTATTTTGGAGTAGGGCTCCTTGAGAAGGGGTCCTTTGCGGGTTATTTTGGAGTAGGGGCTCCTTTAAAAGGGGTCCTTTCAGGGTTGTTTTAGAGTAGGGCTGCTTTGAAAGAGGTCCTTTCAGTGTGTTTTTTAGGGTAGGGGCTCCTTTAAAAGGGGTCCTTTCAGGGATATTAGAAAGGTCCAGTGTAGTTGGGGTAGGGGCCTTAATAATTAGAATAGGTCACAGGAATATCCTTACCTTATCGGACTTCATAAAACGGAGGTTTATGTGGTTTTCTCATGTGCTTGTCCGGTGCCCTAGAACTGTTAGTAACACTTAGTAGCATGATTCCCTTATAGTACCTCTATAAGTTAATAGAGTTTTATAGCCGAAACTCTAGTCTGAATATACTACGGAAAATGAGGGATCTTAACAAGAGCCCAAATGGTAGAACCGCTGTTGAAAAGATCCCTGATATGGCAGCCGAAGTTTAATAAACCACCATGGTGTGCCATTTCGCGCTAGCAGGGGATGTGCCAAGGACCCTGGCATGTTCTAATGTTTCGAAACACCCCCACTTGGAGGTTCATGGGCAGTTACAAGTGGGGTTATAAGTAGGATAACGATACTCAGAACCAAACTGGGGACTTGTAACCCCACTTATAACTACCCTAAACCCTGAACCCTAAATCCCTTTTGAACCCTTTGAAGGAGCCCTTAAAGGAACTACCCATGAACTTCCAAGCAATGCAAGCAGTGTCTCATGGCAGGGTGCTGGAGGCAGGAAGGGACTCGCCAAGCAGACGAGAAACCCGAAAGTTTAGGGGTTTAGGGTTTAGGACTCTGCACCTTTAAGCCCTGAACTGCTTAGGACTGGGGTTGAGGATCTGAGGATCCCAACAAGAAGATGTTCTGGGACGATCCCCCCGATGTGTGGGTGAGCCCCTGGCACTATTGTTGTTTACGGTATAGACACCAAAGCCACACACACTGCCGAGGCTACATCCCAGCGTCTTTGCAATAGACTCTTCTACGAACGCCCAAAGCCCAAAAGCCGTAAAGCATGCTGGCAGGTGCTTTGATTCAGCGAACCTTTTGGAATCTCCAGGACCGTAAACTTCAAACTCAGATGGCCATCACTACGACACTGAAAACCCTAAGGCTTAGGGTTCGGGGCCTCGGTCTGAAGCAAAGCTGAGGTGAAGTCTGCCAAGATTGTCCTCGGATTGCTGAAGTCGGGGGAGCCCAGAGGGGAGGGGATTCTTCTGGAATTTGGATCTAGGATCTAAGGCCTGGGGTTGAAGGTTAGAAGACTGCGGTGGGATATTCGGTATATCGAAGTCAGCCCGCGAGCCCCGTCATCGCCACCATCACATCACCATCACAGCAAGAAGAATATGTTGACGAACTCAATGCCAACCCATCAACATCCAATGCATCTTCAGAACATGCTGGAACATGCTGCGTGAGCCTCAAATCCGGATTGGGCCAAGGGATTTAGGGCATGTTGAAATTCGAATGGCCAACCTGCAGGCAAAGAACGATGAATTTGCAGGACGTGCGCCCTTCAAACCTTTTCAGAGCCCTAAATCCTGTTCTTTGGTTCTGATACGGTTGATGATATAAATCCTGCATTACCCATAATAAGGAATATAACATAATTCCCATAAGTTAGGGTCCCTTTTTTAAGGTAATGCAGGATTTATATCATCAACCGTACCAGTCCCAGAATTTATGGAGGAAAACCAAAAAAAGCGTCGGTAATTCGTAAGGCCAGTATACTTGCACTGGGTGTATCTGTAAAAGCCAGGGAAAGGCCCTAGCTCCCGTACCACAACATCCTGCCCGATAGTTGTCTGAATGTAGACCCCTGATTAACTGTCTCCAAGGGCCGTGGTTCCGTACCACAACATCCTGGCCGCTAGTTGTTTTAATGCAGACCCCTGATTAAGCAAGACCCTGTCTCTAAGGGCCATTGTTTCATCGTCCCTATTTTACTCCATCTGAAGACAGCGGAGTGTGTTCATCAGGGAGGGGTCCACACTACTCCGGAACCCGAGACCGCCGAAGCCCCAAAGTATAAGTTTAAGGGCCACCATATCACGATCCCTAGTATATTCCCTGGTCTAGTCAGAAATCGACATGACTCGAGAACCCGCCTGTCTCGGCTTCAGGAATGCGGAGGCGAATGCTGAGTTCAAGAACCTCGCCACCGAGAACCTGCATCTCAGCCTGTTTTGGGGGGTTTTAGAGGCCTTCCGGTTCGGGGAGTCTTGTATTGAGTTACAGGGGTGTGCTGATGCCTTGCAGGGTTTTTCGTTTGTGGTTTTAGGGCGCAGGGGTTTTTACCGTGAGTTAGCGTTCAGGAGAGCTCTGGATGTGGGTTTTGCTTATCTTCTTTCTACGGGCAAAAACAGACGCTATATAGGACTGTACTATAGGTGCCGAAATAATTACCCATACCATTTTGGGGGTGCCTTATTATAAATAAATGTAGTATACTGGGCCCCCAAAGCCGTTTCCAGTTATTAAGGCCCTTCTACTAAACTAAACCCTTATAGTACCCATATAGTATCCCTCAAAGGAACCCTATTCTAATTCTTAAGGCCCCTAGATTCGTCCGAGTCCGGGCCCATGGCTTCCGGGTCAGGTGGCTAAAGACCTGAAGCCCCATGGCTTCGGGTCATACAAACCTTGGGCTGGGCTGATTGGGGTGTGAGCCACCCCTCTACTTGAAGGCTCATGGGACTTAGTAAGTAAGGTTATAATTAGGATAATCCCACTTAGGGGACTTATAACCCCAAGTATAACCTACTTACTAAGTCCCATGATCCTCTAAGTACTATCTCCTATATAATCCCTGCTAGTCCCTGTATGATCCCTTGGAGGAGACCCTGTGCAGACCTGTATCCTAGCCCGTGAGCGTGCTTCTCCCCCCCTCCGAAGGTCAACCGATTTTTGGCCTCTGTCTAGGAAGGGTATGATCAGAGAGTAACTACTATTTGCTTAAGAACCCCCAAAAAATATATTCCTTATGGGGGTAATATAGGGATTATTATTTTTATTTTTTGGGGGTTTCTTAAGCAAATAGTAGGTAAGAGGCTACCTTGTGGGATACCTGAGGGACTATGATTGGGATCCGCTCTATTCCGGTTGCAGCGCAGAGTGAAGCAGGCGTCCAGCAGTTGAATGTCGCACGTGTCAGTAATGACTGAGATTACGTAGTCGATAGTCAGCCCTTGTCAGTGCATCTGAAACAGGCAATGTTCTGCTGACCCTGAGCTTTAGCACAGACTTCTCAAAGTCTACAGGAGCTACAAAGAAAACCGAGGGTGCAAAGACTGCAACAAGCTTCAGTTAAGGAATATCTTAGGTGGCATCTAAACCGGAACCCTAATGTACTTAAAGTCTTCACGGTATATTCAGTAGTTAGTAGGTTTGGGAGTCTTCCAGAGCCGCTATGAAGCCCCCAGAAAAAACACAATTCACCAAACAAGCCTCGTGGATCCCGCCACAAAAGAAAAGCCTTAAGCACACCTTTGCCAGGAAGCCCTACAAACTCCATGTGGGAGTCTCCGAAAATAGGGGACCCTAACATAGCACCCTAAATAGTAGGATCCTTATTATAAGGACCCCTAAGTTAGGTACCCCTATTTTCGGAAACTCCCATGTAGATACCCTTAAGAAAACCTTTAAGACCCCTCTCAAGCACGCCGCTTCTCAGGTACGTCTACCACGTCCAAGTCAACGCCGCCCAGCAGGGCCGCAGGTTTCCTTGGGTGGGGTTCCTTTAAGGGTCCCTTTAAAGGGATCTATAGGGATTCGATAAAGGGTATAGGGTTTAGGGCCTACTTGGAGGTTCATGGGTAGTTATAAGTGTGGTTATAAGTCCCCTGGTATTGGCTATAAGTATGGTTGCACTACTTAAAACCCTACTTGAAACTACCCATGCGCCTCCAAGTAGGGCTGCGGTTTAGGGATGTTTATTTAGGGGTTTGGGGTTTTGAACTGAGGGGGGTGTCGGGTTGTTTGTTACAGGGACCTCAATCCTCAACAGGTCTCAGGTTTAAGGCTTTAGGGCTTTGCATCCACCCAGAGTGCCCAATACCCCTTATTTAAAAAATTGCCTTAAATCCTTAGCGGCTTCATATTATGGTTTTAAGCTATATTCCTTAATTAAGGGGTATGGGGCTCTCTGGGCAGGGGTCATGGGGGCTTCATGGACATATATGTAGGGCTGTAAGGCTTCAGCACGAAAAGGTCTTGGGTTGGCGAACTGGTTTAGTGGCCCAGTTCAAGGGCCAGGAAGAAAGTGACTGTTAAGGCTGAAGGATGTTCCGCAAGGGCTCTATAAAGCAGGGTTCTGCAAGGGCTTCGTAAGGGTCGAGGCTAGCGGACGAAGATTCAAGATTAGCAACATTGCGGGTTTAGGGTTTTGAGGGCTCTAAACGCTTGAAGGGTTTAATCACTCAGCAGAGAAACTAGACCGAAAGCCCTTTACCCACCCAAACGCGGGAAAAAAGCTCAGCTAGAAAAGGAAACCCCGAAGGGAAGTCGTATCCTGATGTCCTGGACCCAAACAAGGGGATCGAACAAAACACTCACGCCCGCTCCCCCCCTCCCATCGACTGCCAAAACGGCGCCTTCTCCAGGAGTAGTGTGCGTTCTTGCTCACAACGAGACGATGATATGTCAACATACAAGAAAGAAATGAGCAAGATAGTATTGCGTGTATCAACAAGCCCAAAAAATTCTTTATGCTGTGTGTCCAAAGGGCGTGTAGCTCCGGATGCTGGGGGGACAACGACATATGCAAAGACTCAAAAGTACCCGCAGGACAAGCATGAAAGAGAAGACGACAGAACATGCAACAGACAACTGGTAATGACGGCGTTTATAGAATCGTTGCCGTCATCGTAACGGCTTGTGTGGCAGTCACAGTTAAAGTATTGCTTGTAGTACTTGTAGGACGAGTAGCACTCGTACTACTAGCAGCAGTTGTAGTAGTAACAGCAGTGGTTGTAGATTTGTGGAGATGATGAGCTTGGGCTTTTGCAGTTTCTGTTGGAGGGGCTGCAAAGAGAGCCTAGGATGCCCAGTAGTACCCTTATTCCCTTTTTGTAGTCCGAGGTTCCTTATAAAGTTCCCAAGTACCAAAAAGGGAGCCCTTTTTATTCGTAGTTTACTGGGCATCCTAGAAGCCAACTACGAGCAGAGCAAATGACGAGATTCTTATGCATGCAAAGTGCTGGCGTCAGGCGCACCTACCGCGCGCACGGCCGCATCGGGCCATACATGCGCCCCGGCGGATTTAAATCTTGAAGCCCACAACTACTTGGATGGAGGGTCTTGGATAAAAGTAGAGTTGTTCGTAGAAGCAATGGATCCTAATTGGGGTTATGATACTTGACACTCTATACTTGGAGGTGCATGGGTAGTTATAAGTAGGGTTATAAGTAGGGTAACTATACATATAACCCATATTAGGGGACTTATAACCCCACTTATAAGCACCCATGAACCTCCAAGTAGGCCCTAAACCCTATGCTCTTATGGAACCCCTATAGATCCTATAGATCCAAATAAGGGACCCTTAAACCCTCTTAGCAGGCCCTGGAGCCACAATCCCTCAGCCCGAAACGGAGGAAGGTGTCCATGCCGAGATCCCAGAAAGGCCCAATAGCGCTTAATTAAGGAATACATAGGGCCGATAGGGCTCCTTTAGGGATTCTCTAGGGCCTTTAGGTTTTGGGGGCTCCAATACCCCTTAATTAAGGAACATAGCTTAAATGACAATATCAAGCACCTAATGATTTAAGGTATATTCCTTAATTAAGGGGTATTGGGCTCTCTGGGATTGGCTGTATGTCAACAGCTGAAGCGTTTCTGGGCTTCGGGGTGCTTGGATCTTTTTAATCTGCGGATTCGGATACAAAACCCCAAACCCTAATTCCTAAAGCCCTAAACCCGAATTTCCGAACCCCTAAACCCTGGTTCCTAAACCCTAATTCCTAAACCCCTAAACCCCTAAACCCTCAAGCCTAGTTCCTAAACCCCTGAAGAGTCCTTCGTAGAAGAGTCGTTGTAGAACTGAAGCTCTGATCTTAGGCTCGAGGATGGCTGTGTTGCCATGTTCAGAAACATACCAAGAAGAAGCACAACAAAGTCTATCTATCGGTATAAGTGGCTACAATATACTGAAGTACAATATAGTACAGTATATTACAATGAAATAGTTCAATCATGTTGGCGCTCTCCTCCAGTGCGAACAGCTTGCATGGGACTGCTATACCGACACTCCTCTTCTGAGGAACTGCCCTTGCCACGTGGAGATGATCTTGCAGGAGATCTCTACGGTTCCGGAATGAGTATACTGCTGAGGGTCTGGGTTTGGCTGTGCTGGGTTCAAGTCTTGTAGCAAATATTTAGGGCCCCCAACTACCCTCTAATATACCCCAAATACCCACTTATTAAGGCCCCCGAGTACTCATGTTGTTTTGGGGTGCAAGGGTGACGTGTTTGGGTTCAGCTTCTACTAGTTCAGCACAGCCTTTCGGGTCAGAGAATGCGCAGTCTAGGCCCATTCGTCCCTCCACCCTTTCATCGAGGGCCCCAAGCCCTGAGAAGCTCAGGCCGAAATTTCAAGCAATTGCTGCAACTACGGTTGATGATATAAATCCTGCATTACCTTAAGGACGCTAACCTAATTATGGTATATTCCTTACTGTGGGTAATGCAGGATTCATATCATCAACAGTAGTAGCACCGTCATCACCATCAAATCCAATATGACCACTACTGCTCTTCTTGTTGTTGTCAGCACTGTTTGTATGATATATGATATATCAACAGTTGGCGAGAGGCCTGAGAAGGTGTGGTTGGAAATTGCTGTTTTCAGCAGGTATATAGTTTAGGAAGCGGCAAAATCCGAGCTTAGGGCAAACAGGACGACAATGGGACTGCGTCGAAGATGAACAATTGAGAGCTAGCATTTCGACCGAAATGCCATGTTTATCCTATGGTTCTCCTATCGTTCCTATTTGTAGGGAAAACATAAAGGCAAATTGGAAACTTATAGGGAATGCATAGGCCTGTGTCGAAAACTAAATATGATCGATGCCTTTTCCGATTTTTGCATCGAAACCTCTGATTTCCCACCGAAATCCTAGTTTAATCAAATTTCTGACAACCTTGAATTCCTGAATATGTCGTGGTTCTCTTGAATCTACTATTGAAGGATTTGTGGATCTAGCCCAAGACTCCACGTCTTAAATAATATCGTTGTTCTCCTTCTGCTGTCATCCTAAAGCCCAAGCCTTAAAAATGTATCCCCAAGCCCCCCTAAGCCCTAAACCCTGAGCCCTAAACCTAAAAATCCTGAGCATTTCAGTTTCGTGACCCGGCAGGAGAAGGAGGAGGGCGTCGAGAAGCCTGCTGAGGCTTGGGATTCGAGCACCCATCCCTAGACGTCTAGGGGTTTACGGGTTTTTGGTTTAGGCGTTAAGGGTTCTCTAAGGGTACGATAAGGGTACTATAAGGGTTCCTGAGTGATACCCTTTTGCTCTTTTTGCTTTCGGGCCTCCTTATGAAAGCAGACTAGTGGGAAAAAGGGTACACGTACAATAAAGGGGCGGAACCGTGCTAAGGAGTAGAATATACTACGTGGGTTTTGGGGTTTTCAGGGTTTGTGGTTTCGGCTTCTCGGGTTTAGGCTTCAAGGGTTTAGGATTTGGGGCTTTAGGGTGTTAAGATTCAAAAAGTGGAGCTTCCCATGAGTACCCTTTTGGCCTTTTTATGTTCGGGTTCCGTTATTAAAGCTGTATAACAACACTGGGGAACCTAGCGCCTTATCGGCCCTAATTCTAATAGATGTACAAGGTATGGGGGTGGCTGTCGAAATTACGGCCCCATTTGGGGTACCCTGAATAATAGGTGCCGTATTATAATAGCGACCCAAAAAGGGATCATAATTTTGACAACCGCCCATGTATAAGGTATGGGCTGATTGTATGGATTGAGTAGTTTGTTTGTGTGTAGGTATCTTGACGACACTACGCAACAGACAGACTACTGTTGATGATATAAATCCTGCATTACTTTAAGGACCCTAAAGTATGGGAATAATGGTGTATTCCTTATTATGGGTAATGCAGCATTCGTAGCATCAACCGGTTGATGATATAAATCCTGCATGACCCACAATAAGGAATATACCATAATTCCCATAGTTTAGGGTCCTCAGGGTAATGGATTTATATCATCAACCGTAGGCCCTCAAACTCTATCGAGGCGCCTGGCTGTCCAGAATCGCGGAACCTTACCCGCCAAAAGCTAGAGCAAAGGGGAAAAGGAGGGACCCTTAATGCGGACCCCTACCCTATAATCGGCTATATGATGGTATACAATAGCTCTTTTAAGGGAAAAACCTAGGGGTCCTTATGAAGGGTCCCTGCTTGTACCCTTGGACTAGAGTGAAGCTCCAACCCCAAAGCCGTAAGCTGTAAAGACCTAAAAGCTGAGCCCGCGAAACCGAAGGCCATAGATCATAGGAGGCCAAAAGGGGTTTTAGCCTATGGGGGTTTAGTAGTGATTAGGGTTCCCATAATAGGGTTCATATTAAGGAATCCCTGCCCCAAGAATCGTAAACCCCCAATTTGGCCTCCCATCACTCCTGAAGCACCAACCCAGAGCCTCGAGTGGCGGCTGGCTCCGACCGGGCAACTCTAGTCTTCCATACCCCCGCGAAGCCGCCAGACCCTCAACCCCAAACCCTAAATGGGTAGTTGTCGAAATTAGGGTCCTTGTTTGGGTACCCTAAATAGTAGGTGCCGTACTATGATAAGGACCCAAAAAAAGACCCTAATTTTGATAATCACCCGAATCCTAAACTGGAACCTGAACCCCAAACCAGAACCCTAAACCCCAAACCCTCAACCCGAAACCCTGAGAATTCTGTCGACCTTGACTGCAAGGCGGAAAAAGGTGCTCAAAAACAAAATGCCTAAACATTCAAAAGTGCTTGGGCCCTGAAACCCAAACCCCAAAACGGGAACCCTAAACCCCAAAACCATAAGCCCTAGTGCCAGGAGGAGAAGCCCAAGAAGTTCACCAGGAAGCAGCTGGCGAAGCTCCGCCTCCCAGTAGGAGCCTCGATGCGGCTAGTTAAGGGATCTGTAATGGGGCCTTATCAAGGGGTCTATAAGGGATCTATAAGGGTACTTTAATGTAGGGGCCTTATAAATGGATCTATATAGGGTACCTTAAATTCTTTATATGTAGTTAAGGGATCTGCAATGGGGCCTTATCAAGGGGTCTATAAGGGTTACTATAAGGGATCTATAAGGGTACTATAATATAGGGGCCCTGAACAGAGGCTTCCTGAAACTTAGAGCCCGGATCTTTCGGAAGGGAGCCTCAGGGAAGGCATAATGTAGGGGCCTTAATAATTAGAATAGGGTTTGGGGGGGGGGGGTATATTATGCCAGCATTGAAATAGGAAACCCTCAAAACCCTATTCTAATTATTAAGGCCCCTACATTAGTCCTTAAACTCGATTCTTGCTAAGAGATTTAGGGTTTAAGGTTTGGGGTTCAGGGTTTGGGGTGTAGGTTCTTGTTAAGAAATTCAATGTAGGGTGTGTCGGTGGGCGTGTTTAAAACAAGCGTTTGTGCTCTTTTCAGATAGCCTTTGAGGTATAGTAGGGATCATTAAAGAAGCATGTTTACAGATGGTCTTCGAGAAATGGTAGGGATCCTGAATCACAGCCGAAAAAAACCAATCTCTAGATGTTCATGGTGATCGCAGCGCGGGATCTCTTGCCATTGAGGCTCATAGTTCTTTAAGATACTTGGAGGTTCATGGGTAGTTATAAGTGGGGCTATAAGTCTCCCAATATGGATTATAAGTATGGTTATAAGTATAGTTACCCTACTTATAACCCTACTTATAGCTAGCCATGGGCCCTAAACCATATACCCTTATCGAATTCCCTACAGATTCCTTTAAAGGACCCGTAGGAACCCTACTTATAATTACCCATGAACCTCCAAGTAGAATCAAGGCCCTGAGCCAACGAAAACCCTCACACGTGCGCCAGGTGGGTGGTGACAAGTGAGCATCGGACTTGCAGTGGCCGGAGTCGACAAAAGCCAAAGCTTTCATGGTGTAGAGTTTAGGATCCAGGCCGCGTCATTGGGGTTATTAGGGCAGTTGTCAAAATTAGGGTCCCTTTTTTGGGCACCCTAAATATTAAAAAGGGACCATAATTTTGACAACCACCCATTAAACTCTTGAATCAAACGAGGTACAGGTTTCAGTGCTTGGGTTCAGCGTGTGCTGTTCCTGGGAAAGCTTCGAAAGGAACTCCCAAACAGCCGGGACGCGTGCCTTTCCAATAATACTATAGAATTCCTGGAAACTTACCTTTGGTTAGTAGGGAATGGAAGAATGGTAGTAATAGTAGTTCTAATTGTACCCAATTTTCCCATTCCCTGTTAACCCAAGGTAAGAGGCCCTTTCCTGACGAAGCAAGTATGCTCACAGTCCTCGGTCTTCGACTGGTGTCTTCAGGGCAGGCATAGCAAGGACGCGACAGTGATCAAACCCAGACAACAATCACGGTATTGATGACATGGTCATCATAACACAAGGCCCCACCCTTCAGAACCTTGAGAACGGGCATGCACAAAGACGAGACCGTTGTTGAGTTAGCAGCCATGCCATCTTTTCGTGTGGCGGCAGCCACTGCTGCCAATTCCAATGCCGCCTGGCCCACCGGGTTATCTATAGTCTCCAAAGGATTTTCCCATTCTTGTTCATAGAAAATCCAAGAGAGTATTAAAAATAGTATTTGTATTATGGTTCTAAGGCGGGTATAGTTATGTCAGCCGTTAAGTGCTTCTTGCTATAACTCGATATATCTTGGTGTAGACTGTTAGACAAGAACCTGGCTCTTTTGTAGCCACAGCTGAACCCAGACCCCCAAGTTGCAGGACAGCGTGGGCGCCTCAAATGCTCAATTTGTGGGGAGGAGTTAACAAGGACAGAATGAGGTACTGCCTGTCGGTCGGAATGCACCTCCTTAGCTACGAGCTTCGAACTCCAGCAGCCCGAAACCCACCTGAGACAGGCAAAGGAGTCTAGCAATATTAGGTACCCCAGGGTGGTGGCAGCAAGACGGCCACGTGGCAGTAGAGTAAGGTCCGTCCCTTCTCTCCAGCCTTTCAAGCCCCAGCAAGCTGAATGTATGGTGCTGGGAAGCTAGGGGATTGACTCCTATATCGATGGGTTTAGGGTTTGTCGGATGTCTATATACTAAACCTTTTTTATCCCCTGAACTATACGGTGGGCGCATTTGCGGCCGCAGCTGCAGAGTGGCTCAACCATACCAAGCACCAGTAGCTGGACAAGTGAGCCTTGTCGGGTTGCTAAGCCTTTCTGGTTCCAAGGAAAGACGACGACTAGGATACTGATACTTAGCATCATTCCCCAAGTGGGAGTTTAAAACACCCTAAACCCCAAGCCCTAAACCCTGCTTACAAAAAAAAACCTGTAAGCAGCAGGGAACCGTCTACAGAGTCGTGACTTTCAGTTGCGTCACCCCGCAGACAAACGAATACCTCAGCTCGACTTCCTCAAAGGAGCCCCTGCCCGAAAAGAATCTGTGGGAGGTAGTAAGTAATAAGTCTGAAAGTCCAAAATACAAGATATTGATAGTACTCAGAATGAAAGTCATAGCCGGTAATGATATCGTGACTAGTGGTTGAAAGTTCATTGCCGAGCGAAGACACCTGTAGATGCTTCACTATCCCGCGACCTGACGTGACATCGCGTTACATGGAAATGTCATTAAGTTCAAAAAGCCTTGGATACAGCCTTTGGCGGTTCCTTCATGGCTACCTGTGACAGACTCTCGCCCACGAGCTCCAACGAGAGCACACAGTCAAGCGAGGCACAGCAACTCATGATTCCAAGAAGTCATGCTCCATTTCTAGCCCTTAGCTAAAACCGCAGACTAATGTCACCCTGAACTCTGGGCCTAACCCGGACCAGCGCCCATCCAGATTCTAACCGCCCTTTAGACAAACCCCTTTCAAGGAACCCTCTGAAGGAACCCTATATTCTGATTAGGAAGGGGCCCTGTACTAGCCCGATTGTAGTAACCCTCGTAGAACCCTCACGGGAACCCTTTCTAATTATCAGAGTTAGCAAACCTCATTATAGGTCCCCCTGATAGAACCGCAATATGGGAGCTTCCGAAAATAGGAGACCCAAATGTAGTGTCCAAAATAGTAGGATCCTTCCTGTCAGGACGCCAAGATAAGGTACCCCCCAATTGTCGGAAACCCCCATATGCGTTCCCTACGTTACACCTCCCCATAGAGCCCAAAGGACTATAGCTTAAATCATAATATGAAGCCCCTAATGGTTTAAGCTTTATTCCTTACCCTATGCCTCCAAGGACCTTGTAGTTAGGGCCCTAGACCCCTTAAGGAGCCAATTTTAAGGTCCCTGGAAGCCTTGGGTTAATTAAGGGGTATTGGGCTCTCTGGGTCTCCCCCGAGGATCCCGAGGCGCCCACTGCCTACTGCGCGCAGAAGCGCAAGTGCTGCTGCTGCGAGCTGCCGAGATATGCCAAGTGCTCGGTGTGTCCGAGCCCCGGGGAGGAGGGTGAAGGGCGATAGGGTTTCGGGTTTAAGGTTCTCGAAGCATTATAGTTGATGATCTTTGTCTGTTTTTTTCGGCTACTATAGTGTGTTCAAGCTTTTGTGGCAAGGTCTGCTGCCACGTCGCATAGATGAGGGTTTCAGAGGGTTCATAGCGGCCTTAAAAGCTTGTCATAGGCTTGAACGAAGGTTTTCATAAGGGTTTGATGTGGGCTGGTTCAGGGTTTCACGGCTGTTTATCGGCATTGGTATAAGTAGTTTTGTAAGTGGTTTTCAATGCAGGTAATCTTTCATAGCCATGCTTAATTACCAAGTCTCCTGATCTTTTCAGCACGTCTCACGGGTACACCCCGAAAGAAAAGCCCTGAAAATGCTGGAGTGGCAGGGCACGAACATCCCACAACAGGAGCGCTCAATTTCCTGAACCCTCTTTCTCTAGCAGCCGCACGCTCAAAAATTGGTTGAAGAGGAGGGTCTCTGCATTTCAGGCTGCCGCGTGCGCGCACCCCGGCAACCCACCAACCTAGAGCCTCCCGAACTCCTGAAAAAAACCGACATGGGAGTTTCCGAAAATTAGGGGTACCTTATTTTGGGTTCCTTATAAGTTGTAAGTAGGGTTATAAGTAGGGTAACTATACTTATAACCCATGTTAGGGGCCTTGTATCCGCACTTATAAGTGCCCATGAACCTCCAAGTACGCCTGAAAAAACCGACATTCCACGCACCTGGAACATTCTACGTGCCATAAACCCTAAACACCCTAAACTAAACATCGTAACCTCCTAAACTCTTGAACAATATACCCCATACCCTAAACCCCAAAACCCTAAGCCCCAAAACCCTAACCCCCAAACAAAACGACCAACCCAACCGCCCTCTAAAGCTCGCAAAGGCCTGGCAGCTGCCGCTTGGCCATCACGAGAAAGCAGTACTTATAACCCTACTTATAACTACCCATGAACCTCCAAGTCATGTGGCGTTTGTTGCACACATCTTGAAGCAGGTTTCGGGATCCGGGTCTTCGTAGCTGCAACCTTTGAGAGTGCCACAGAGATGAGAGCATAAGTAATGACTTTTCATCCGTTTGAGCCTGAATGTGGGTCTCCTACTTGAAAAACTGCAGGCCTTATGTAGAAGCTTGAATAATTGCTCATAGTACTCCTTGGGGTCCAATTCCAAGTATTACGGCTCTGCTCAGCTGTTTCGGAGGTGTATCTGGCCCTGATGCCCTGCGTCTACTTGCTTGGGCACTTCTTGGTCTATCCAGGACTGCTGAGGGACTTTTTACCCACAGAGCCAAGACCATATACCTAATCTTGGGACATACTATGGATCTCGCCATGCCCTGAAACCACGTCCCTTAAACCTGGACCCTAAACTCTAAACCTACGTCCCGAGTGTAATGATCACTGGGATCTCTGGGTGAGTAGGCTTCAGGCATCCCCTGTATCAGGATTTGTATTGGGGTGTTGGTGGGCGGTTACAGTTGCGCAAGGCTCCTTCTAAGATTGGTGGGCATATATTTATGCTGGTACCATTACTATCAGCTCGACTGCAGTATAGTCGTCGCGGTCTGGTACTTGATGCCGTATGGGTGGGTTGGTTGGTTCTGTCTTAATCTGTCCCCAAGTCGATAATTGGCTCAGGCTGCAGAACAGAGCAGGGTTTGTGGATGAAGCCTTGAAGCCTGAAACGGTTTCCCTGAAGATTTCAAGGCGTGTGACATCAAACTGCAGTTCCTGCTGCAGGACAACTAGCATTGAACCTCCAAGCCTTCGCTGTTGTTTCAGTACCTTGAGTGCCAATTTTCAGGCAATGCCATCTCCTCAGCTTCCAGCCAGATCCCTCAAACCTCAACCCTGAAGGCAGACAAGTTCTGAACCTTTGGGCCCGACCGAAGCCCTTGCCCATGCTAGCCGAAGATCTTTACCACAAACCGCCTTCGGGAGACTATCCTATTCAGGCTTTGGGGTTCAGTGTGCCCGCTTACTTCCATAACTGAAACCCCCCTCCCTGTACATGTAAAAGGGATCCTGCTCTTCAAGCCCTTCAAAGAAAATTAGTTTCTTGAAACCCTAAAACACTAAAACCTACGCCAGGAGGCTGGCTCAGGATCCCTAACATGATTACACCACAATACAACCCTAAAACGCTATTCAAAGTCGTAAGGCCCCTTCTCATAGAGCCCTTGTGATCCCAATATGATTGTACTACAGCACACCCACAAAAGGGCAACGCCCCCATGCAAAGTGCTTCTGAGGACCCCTGCTTCATTTTTGACGGCCCCTACACAACAAAGTCAAGCTGTGCTCAGGATCCGACTTCGTTGCGACGTTTCACGGCACCTCCTGCAAGCAGTTCGTCTTCGCTGGCCGCTCTGGCCGGTCGAGTCTAGGCCACAATTGACTGACTACACCAGGTTCCTGAGTATCAGTACCTTATAGTATAGCCTATATCTATAGATACATACAGGTATACATACGTGCATACATTGTATATATATATATATATATATATACACATGGTTTTCACTTCAAGGTTCCTTGCTATGCACGCTATGTCATATTTAAATCATTAACGGTAAGGAAAAGCACCAGCTCCGTCTTGGAGTTTCCGAGATGTCTTTGCCTGTGCCGGAGTTGTTGAACACCGACTTCCTACAAGCTCCGAAGAAGCCAGAACCAAGTTCAGGGTTTCGGTTGTGGGGTTTGGGTTTTCGGGCTTCGGGTTTAGGGTGCTAGGAAGAAGGCACCAAAGTTCTTGGGGTTCTTCTGGTTGGCTCTTTAGACTATGAACTATAATAAGGAGGCTAGAAGTTTAACTTTTAGGAGGGGTTCAGAAGTCCGCCAAGAGTTATTAAGGGGCTACACCGGAACCTAGGTAGTACTTGTTGTCATAGTAGTGATAGAGTAGCAATAGTAGTAATAGTAGCAATGACAGTAATAGTCTAAGTACTCCCTAGACCCTATAGACACCTTTAAGGAACCCTATAGATCCCTTTAAGGAGCCCTCTAAAGGAACCTTACTAAGTCCCATGATCCTCTAAGTAGCCTCACTTGAGCCGAGGATACAGGCAGCTCACTGTCCTCTTGGCACTTTCGGTGCTCCGACGCTCAGTTGCTTCGGGGGTCTCTAGGGGATTTTTTTGGGGGGTTGGGGGTTTAGGGGTTTAGGGGATTGGGGATTTAGGGGTTCAGGGGTTCAGGGGTGGGCAGTGGGAGAAGGTTTCGGGCTGAGCGCCTCTGTTTCAGTACCTTGACGGTACCATGTGCCAGTCGGAAGCGGGCGACATGTAGCTGCGCTTTGGATGAAGGTCTTCGGGTCAGTTTTAAAGATCCGCAGACCCTCAACTCGCGTCTCGCGACCAAGGAAGAATGCCACACCTGTGGTTGCCTTCGGAGGCAACGGCATGAACATGCAGCTGGACAGAGCCTCTAGGGTTGGCTTGTACCCTGACCCCTTTAACAAGAAGCCCACCCCCAAAGCCAAAGCCCAATAACTACAGGCTAACCCCCTAAATCTAAATCCCTAAAGAAGGCGTCTGGGCCTGGATGAGGCTGGAGGCCAAAGGCTTGGTTTGATTCAGGCGACTTCAATAAGGCCCCGACCATGTAAGGAATACTCGTTCATGGGATCAGGATCACTGCTGTAGCATCGAGCGCATGCTTCCTGGCCCAACTAAACTCAGGTACGATGTCCTTCTGAGTATGGGCAGCATCCTCCCATCATCACAGCAGGAGTGGGATTCTTGGGGCAGCATTCAGCTGGAAAACCATGGAGTTTGGCATGTCAGGCCCCAAAAACCCCTAAACCCTAAAGCATAGGACCCATAAACTATAAAGCCTAAACTCTGAAACCCATCTGGTAGAAAGACCCCCTTCAAGGCCTGCAGTCTACTAGTCGCCAGCCCCCCTCGGACTGCAACCTTCAGCCAAGATCAACTCTTTGTCGCAGTTGGGTAACATTTTTACATTTTTATGGGTACTTAAACCCAATAAGGAACAAAAAATGTACATCTTTTATCCTATCCCAACAATGAACTAGAACTCCTAAAGACTTACATAGACAATGGGATGACTTCAAACGTTTTGGCCTTACCTATTCGGTCTTTCCTCGGAAGTTTAATCGTTTTTGGGTTAGGCTGTTGAAGGAGATACAAGAATCGAAAACTTCCGGTGGTGCAGGGCTGAGGGGTGGGCTCAGGACGGGTAATGGTTTTCGGTTTAGGTTTAGGGTCTGAGTTTGTGTTTTGGGGTTCTGGTTGTGGAGCCCAGATCCTTTGTACGGATTGTTATAAGGGGTACCACGATAGACGGTACTATGAGCTTTCGTTTATTCAGACCTCGCTTGGTAGTTTGAATTGGGCTTCGGGAGATCATTGTGGTCTGGTTTCAACGAGGAACCCCCAGGAGGGGTGCCCCGCTAGGGCTTATTGCTTAAAGTTTTGGGGTTCAGGGCCCACTTGGAGGTTCATGGGTACTTATAGGTGGGGGTTGTAAGTCCCCTGATAGTTCTATAAGTCTAGTTACCCTACTGATAACCCTGCTTAGAACTACCCATGAACCTCCGAGTAGTGGCTGCTGGTGGGGTTTGGGAACGAGACTCCAAAGCCGGGCGATCGAAGACTACGACAGGAACAAACTCGAGGATCCTTGTAGAACTTCAAGGAATTTCAGGCAGATGACGTAATCAATTATGGGGGTCCTGAAAAAAGGGATCCTACAATTTAGGATACTATATCAGGCTCCCCTATTTTCGGAAATTCCCATGGGGGAGTATGATGAGGTGGTGGAGTCTTTGATTACGCAGTATGGCAGCCTTTCCTCGGCTCTGCAAATCCTAAGCTTCAAGAAAAGCGGGAAGCTGAGGATCTGTACCTACTTGAAGGCTCATGGGACTTAGTAAGTAAGGCTATAAGTAGGTTATAATTAGGATAACCCCACTTAGGGGACTTATAACCCCAATTATAACCTACTTACTAAGTCCCATGATCCTCTAAGTAGAACCTAAACCCTAAACCCCATAGATCCCTTTAAGGAACCCCTATAGATCCCTTTAAGGAGCCCTTTAAAGGAACCCTTACTAAGTCCCATGATCCTCTAAGCCTACTCGAACTTCCCTAGGAAAAGCGGGGGGAAGCCGAGGATCTCTACTCGATTTCATTTCCGGGGTCCCAGTACGCGCCCAACGCGGGCTGGACGACCCAAGGCCGAGCAGAGGAGGATGCACAGGACCTCTTTCCCAGACCCCCGGGAGGATCCAAAAAGTAGATCCCTTAATGGGGGTTCCTATAAACTACCCTTAGTAGTATAGGGCCCCAAATTAGGGGATCTACTTTCTAGATCCTCCCGGCGGTCTGGGTTAGAATATCAGGTGCTTTTAGACGGCCTCACAAGGTTTTGCACAGATTTGTCGGGACTTAAGTAGTCACACAATTCCAGAAGTCTCCATGCTTGTGCTATAGAAGTGGCTCCTGTGGCAGCTGTGAGCAGGTAGCCTTGAACCTCTATGGTGAATGAGGGTTTATATGCATGAAAGGTAAACCCCTCTGGGTGGTTATAGTCTACGAGGTTTGTGCCAGCATACACCAAGCATCGCAAGCCCTACACAAAGGCCCCTATCTTCCTGAATATTTATACGACAACATATCCCAAAACTTTCTTCTAATCATTAAGGTCCCCATATTACCCAGCAGCAACCTTTAAGACTCTCCGCACCGCCCCTGAAAAAGCCCTTAAAGACCCCTCAATCACAACATGCTGGGTGATTCGCCGCCGCCAGGACCTTCTGCAGTATGTACACAACCTCACAGGGCGACCTGTGGCAATGCGGCCGCATTCAGGGTTTAGGACCTAGAGGTTGGTTTAAGGTTTGTTTAAGTTTGTTGACGGCTCCAATTTCTGGTGTTTGGTGTGAACTTAAGGTTCTCGAGTCGAAGGGGCGCAGCCCGAACTTCATGACTTCATGGTCATGCCGGCCGATATGAGAAGACACACGCGGGTTCGGAGCTCTGGTCCTTGCATGCAGCACCATCGATATCGTGCTTGGTTCAGGCTAAGCAGATGATGACATGTTGGATTCCGGCGTGAGGGTGGTTCTGTCGTTGCTTGCGGTTCATCCCGCAAGATCTTCGATGGGTCGGCGGGCACGTATTACACGGTATCTGACACCCGACCCATCTTCCGCCGTCGACAGATCGTAACAGCAAGTTTTTCCAAGGTAGTTTATGGCTGGTCCTTGGGCACCTCTGTGGCAGCATCCCTGGCTGCCAAAAAGAGCGATGTGCCTCGGCACTATGTTGGGAACACGCTGATTGACGGGTGTGGGGTTTGCGGTTTAACGGTTTGGACTTAGGGTTTGCTTTTAGGGCAGAGTTTTGGGGGCAGCACAGCTGAGATTTCCGCAGCCCATGTGCCCGAAGTGGGAACCTGTGTTACGCAATCAGGCTGTTGTAGCGGGGTTTCACCCGCAATTGTGGAGTTCGAGACTGGAATAGGAGTTCGGGCACAGACTGGTTACGGAAGTCAGCACTGCCCAACTAGCTTCACACCCCCTGTTCAAGTACTTCGAGGACTTTCGACGAGGGCTTGCCGGATGACTTCAGGTATATGATAATGATGTGATATTAGTTCATAGCCTGTTTAAAGCAATTGCATCATAATATTCAAGTAACATGATGGTAACATTTCGCCCAGTGCGAGCACTTTTTGAAACTCCACAGGAGCTGCTGAAAATTATTTATATGGGGTCCCAGATACGTGGTGATAGCATGCCGGTGTTCCCTGTCGTCGCCGCTATTTAGTGATGGTCTATTGCCGATAGCCTTACTCTAATCGTGATGGCCCGTGCAGCATCAGATCCCTTACAGGAACTTGTTCTAATTATTTCGGCCCTTGTACTTGGAGGTTCATGGGTAGTTATAAGTGGGGTTATAAGTCCCCTAATATGGGTTATAAGTATAGTTACCCTACTTATAACTACCCATGAGCCTCCGCGACCATCCGAGGCTGTTCAGTGCGTGCTGCTGGGGAACCCTTTCACCAGCATCCGCGACGTGAGCTGTCAGAAGACTCGGGAGCCACCTTTGAATAATCTAGGATTCAGGGTTTAGAGAGCCAACGGGACCATCAATAAATGTCCACGAATAGGGTTCCTTCAGGGGTTGTTATAAGGGGTCCTATGCAGAATCTTATAACGACCTCTTTGAGTGATCAGGCCACAGTTTGGAGTTTAAAGGTTAGGGCTAAAGGATAGCGGGACTATAATCGGTATCGTATCATTGCCACAATTGCCAATTTCAGACTGATGAGCATGTGCAACAAGTCGTGCTTTTTGACCTTGAGGTCATCCAGAGGGACAGCTGGTTTTCGACGTCTAGCAACACATACAGACGACCCCTTTCAAAGTCTCGTCTTAGTAAGAGACGCAGATCTCGTGGTCAGTACTCGCAGTGGCTTGGCTTCCCATTCCTGGACAGCTTCCAAAACTCCGATCCGGCAGTCGCCAGTGCTTGGTTGGGCTGTGGTCATAAATCCGCCAGTACTTGGGGGAAGCTTTGTGTCCATGCTCCTCAGTCCCGCCAGTATTTGGGGGAAAGCAGCTTGGCCGTGCCGTTTCTCGTGGTCCGCTGGTGGTCGCAGTCGTCGTTCTGGTCGTAGTGATTGTCCTGGTCGTTCTGTTAGTCGTGTTGGTTGTCACGGGCGTCATGCTTGCTGTCATACTTGCTCAGGTGGCACTGTCCTGGACAAAGAAGCTGGGTCAGTGGTATACATTGTTTGTTTTTCCACACCGATTATATACCAGTCATAGGGTTTGGAGGTTTCGGAATTGGGGACCCTGAACCCTAGGCCAATGGGGCAGCGGCATAGGTCAGGGAAATCTTTCTGCAATCTGGCACGCAGGCTGCATCCCTAGTCTCGACCCAGCGAGCCTTGAAACCCTAATATAGGGGCCTGAGATATTACCAATAGGGTTTTTTGGATATAGTATAATATACCCCAAAACCCTATTCTAATTATCAAGGCCCCTATAGCACAGCCCCCAGCAATGAATCAGGAACCCGAGGAGTCCCCATACCATGGAAGCCCAAATAGTCAGCAAGACTTACTGTTCCTTAGGATTCCTTTAATGTGTAGTCGAGTAAGCAACCTTTAACCTTTTTTTGGGTGGTATAGTCCCTATATATACGGGTTAATGTGTAAGAGAATTTTAGCACAGTCATGCTTTTCAGGAACTTTGCCTGGCCATATCTGTATCTCGTGGATGAGTGGCCCACGGCGCGCTGGGCCAAGCAATTCCGCGCTCCCACGCCGCTCGCTGACAATGATGACGAGAAGGTTGATGTTGAAACCGAAACCCTGAACCCATAAACCCTTTGGGGCTGTCGGGCTGTTATGATTCCAGCTGCGTCCTTCCTAGTACTGTTAGTACTGTGGCATTTTTTGGATGAATATGCGTAGGATCCAGGATCCTTCAATCTAGGATATGGAAGTTTCCGAAGATAGGTGACCCCAATATAGTACCCTAAGTAGTAGGATGCTTATTATAAGGACCCCAAATGAAGTACCCCTAACTTTGGATATTCCCATATATAGCTGGAATCTTCGTGGGCATTGCCCCACCTACCTCCGTCCCACCTTTCCCGGCTCTTTGGGTGCAGTGTAGGGTTCAGGGTTCACCTGAACCCTGAACCCTAAAGCCCAGATCTCAACCGTTGTTTCCTCCTAAACCCTGCTTCCCTTAGACCCTCGAAGTTCCTCGGGAGAAGGTCGTCGTTCCCAGGTGAGGTGTGGCTAGGGGGTTTACTTGGAGGTTCATGGGCAGTTATAAGTGGGGTTATAAGTCCCCTAATATGGGTTATAAGTATAGTTACCCTACTTATAACCCTACTTATAACTACCCATGAACCTCCAAGTAGGGTTTTTGGGCATTCGGGGTTTTCAGGAACGTGGTTCGAGGCTTCATGCCTTTATATAGGGCTTTTGGATGTGGGTTCTGGCCTCAGGCTGTTGAAGCTTGTAATGTGGGGCCCGTAATAGTGAGAATAATTAGGGTTTGGGGGTGTATATGATACTGTAATTTTCCTCAGGAACCAACATCCTTCTTCTAATTATGAAGGCCTCCTAGATTTAAAGTACCCTTATAGATCCCGTATCGTGGCCCCTATGGACCTGTCGACCTGCCAGGATTGTCATGTCATCGACGCAGGCGCGAAATGGTCTCGGAGTTAAGACGAGGTGTCGTGTGTTAAGAGGTCAACTGAAGCTCCGCCCTACTCGGAGGTTCATGGGTAGTTATAAGTAGGGGTATAAGTAGGGTAACTATACTTATAAACCATATTAGGGGAGTTATAACTCCACTTATAACTACCTCCAGGTACATGACAGATGCCAGGATTTGACTCGAGAGTCCTCCGCCAACACACCGTAGTTGGTTTATCGCTTTCTCATGGTCGTGCTGTCCCATCCCAGACCGTGCTGCTAACTGCTGCCCACTCCCACACCCACCACACATGACATTTGCCCCGGATGCCCTCCAGGATCAAGTTGTTCCGCAGGAGATGCACAGCGCCTGGTCAGCCCTGAGAGGGTTCTCGTTCCTTCGGGACTTTCCAGATGTCTTCCAAATTCATAGGTTGTATTTCTTTGAGTGCTGGCCCCACTCAGTAACATTTGAATAATGTCTAGAGTGTCTGCATATAAAAATATTTGAAAATACATATGCATATCGTGGCCCTTCATAGTCAACTCGAAACAGACTCTTACTGCCCGGGGGGGTGGGAAATCATAGGTAGCATGGTACATTGAATGAAGATGTTGAATTTATCGAGGACCCCTGAAGACCCTCAAGTCCAGAGCCAAGTGTCGGGGAGATTGAGGCTTTCTTCAGCCTGGTGGTATTATAGGAGGCCTACATAATTACCAACAATATTGTGGGGGTTCCTTACTATAATTGTAGAATAGTGGGCCTCGAAGGGACAAAAAAACACGCGCTCGGGCGTTGTAGTAGTCAGGTAAGGGGGCGTCTCATAAGGCATTCGGCTAGGAAGGGCCTTCGGCTCTAAGACGTCCGGGCTTTGAAGAATCTTGCTGCTTAGCTTAGGATGTACGATGCTTGTAGACAAGAGGCGCCCTTGCCGTTGCAAACTTGAGCCTTGAAGCCAAGTGCGCTCTTCAAGGAAAGATCTACGAGACGGTTCCATCAGAGAAGCTCTTGGTGGAACTACCGCTGCAACACATGGACATCGATGGTTGCTTGGAGTTAAAGCCTGCGACCCAAGACCTTGGAAGTAGTAGCAGTAATAGTCGTCGTCATCGTATTAATCGCCGTCGTAGTTAGTAGTAGTAGTAGTAGTAGTAGTAGTAGTAGTAGTAGTAGTAGTAGTAGTAGTAGTAGTAGTAGTAGTAGTAGTAGTAGTAGTAGTAGTAGTAGTTGTTGTAGCAGTTTCATCAGTAGCATTGCTGCGGGCGTGGCAGTAATACAGTTAGTACAGCAGCAGTCGTCGTGCTGCGACGGTAGACCTGCTCCAAGAAGCAACAGGGTCCGAAGACAAAACGTGACAGCGACAACATCAACTTGTAACACGTACCTTATTTTGGGTCCCTTATAATAAGGATCCTACTATTTAGGCTACTATATTAGGGTCCCCTATTTTCGGCAACTTCCACATGTCATGTTTCCACAGGCCAAAGAGCGAGTTTCTACCCTGACCTATAAGGACATTTTGGAGGCAGGCCCGAGGTGTCATGACATAGGAATGCCAAGTCCTCCTCTCCTCCGACATCCGTAATATAGGGGCCGTAAGAATATCACTAGGGTTTGGGCGTCTATTATTCTATAAGTATAATAACGAACCCCCAAAACCCTATTCGAATTATTAGGGTTCCTAAATTAAACCCCAAACCAACCCCATCCACCAAGGCTTCATGGATGCCCTAAACCTTAAACCCTAAACCACCAAGGCTTCATGGATGCCCTAAACCTTAAACCCTAAACCACCAAGGCTTCATGGATGCCCTAAACCTTAAACCCTAAACCACCAAGGCTTCATGGATGCCCTAAACCTTAAACCCTAAACCACCAAGGCTTCATGGATGCCGTAAACCTTAAACCCTAAACCACCAAGGTTTCATGGATGCCACGCAGGATCATGTCTTGAGCTGGTGCACCACCGCCGCTCCCCAGGAAGACTTGCTTCCCAGGTCGCGGCTTGAGATTTAGGGTGAAGGCCCATTAAGATATGTAAGCCTGAGTATGTACGAATACTATTCCTGTAAGTGCCTTGTTGTTTCTGTTCTACATATACCTCAGAAACCCTTTTTTAATGATTAAGGCCCCTACCTCAACAAACCGAGATGACATGCCGTGGTGGCTGCACCTGGCACCCACCATGCAATAGGAGAGCCATCGGGCAATTCATGTACAGTTGCTCGTGCTTCGACCAAAAAAGGCGCAGAGACTAGGGATCAGCTTTATGTTGCAGCCAATAGCTTATGTTTGGTTGTGCTGTCAAGGTCACGGACGGGGGAAGCGTAAGTTTGGGTGTTGCTCCTTTGCTTGTCTCCATGGTCGTCCCACCTTTGGTCTTTTTGCTGCAAGATGCCATGATGGCGAAGAGCGTGCAAGTCCAAAACCACTTTAAACTGGATTCATACTTCAAGCCACGTCTAATCTGGAAACCCTGCCGTCGACGCGCGCTCACGTACTGCCCAGCTTTGTTCGGAGGTTCAAGCAGTCGAGTGAGATAGTGTCTTCGAAGATACACATGGGTAGGGATCCTGCAGGATTCAGATGCTGCTGAGTTTTGAAAATGCAGGATTCAGGACATACGGTTTAAAGTTTTGGGTTGGGTGGAGGCAGGACTTGGAAATCCAAAGTCGGCCCCCTAGAGCCTTGTACAGTCTTTGTCGAACGAGTCTTTAAGCTTCAAGGATAAATAGTAAGTAGGTTAGAGCTGTCCCTGGCCCGAATCAACGTACCCACATTTCGTACCTTTCCCCATGACCCTCCAAGCGAGGATGCTCTGGGCATCTCTCCTTGGCCTGTCCGTGACGTGCCTGCACACCCATGCGCAAAGCTGCATAGCAGCCGCGGAGGCGGCAATCGCAAGGGCTCCGGAAAGAAAGCAGAGCTTCGGCGATCTCAGCAAAGTTTTAGAGCTGAGGGCATTTAGGGCTTAAGGGCTACGCGGCTGAGAAGCTTTAAAGGCTGCAGGGGAGTGAGTGCACAAGTTGGGCTTTGAGAATATATGAGTGTCATGGGTTCAATGAAGTTGGTTTTGGCGGCTTCCGATTTCCTACTGTGGCATTTGGACAACGTAGACCAATGTTCTCAGGGATATAACGGATCAGCCTAAGGAACAGTTATACAACAACCCATTTGTTTAAGCGCCATTTGGCGCAGTACTTCTGCCCGATGACCGCTTCCCAGCAGCTCACAGTTGCAGAAATTGGTGTGTTCCACGGTCACACAACTGCCGTGCTCGCAGCTGTTTTCCAGCAAGTGATTGCGGTGGATGTTGAGGAATCGCATGTCGGCCCAATTGGCAAGCCTAGTTTTTTTTCGCACCAGAGTTCATCAACACGTCACTGATGCCACGACCCTGGTGTGTTCGAACAAGGTACCTGCGACTGGCGGCTCGGCAAACAAACGGATCAAGAAATGTCATTTTCGTGACGGGCGACTCCGGTGTGGACCGTTGGCATGCCTTCCGTTCCAATCGCATTGATGCGGTCGTCATTGATGCGGACCATCGCTACCAGGCAAGCTACAGCTTTTGCTGCACAGTAAATTGGCGGTATGTCCAGTATGGTATAACATGGCTTTCCACTATACTTTATGGTATATTGGAGTAGCTCGTGGTATACTACCGTATATCATAGCTACCCCAGTACCGAATCAACAGAATGCTCTCCACGCAAAAGCCGTTTAATAACCTTGCAGTTTGTCGTCTTGTAAGACCCTTGTAGACCCTACTTGAAGGCTCATGGGACTTAGTAAGTAAGGTTATAAGTAGGTTATAATTAGGATAACCCCACTTAGGGGACTTATAACCCCAATTATAACCTACTTAGTAAGTCCCATGATCCTCTAAGTAATAAAGCCCTACAAATATCCTCATACAGTAAGTGCTCCTTTTGAGAACCGAAACCACCCTCGAATGAGGCTATGACTCGGTTCTCGCGGACATCTCCAATGCGCTCAGCGTGCAAACCGTGCTACTTGGGCCTCCGTTTGACCTCATTCTAGGTTCCATTTTGCTTGAAGTATATAGGGGCAACAGAGGTAAGGGGTGTTCAAGATGTTTAGGGCGATTCGGCTTGGGGTTGCGAGGTGTCCGAGTTACGGTTTGGGGTGAGGATGTAACGCATAGGTTTTCGCAAGTGAGGATTTTGTAGGGTGTAGCACCAGAGTGGCCCAAGGGCTTATTTACATGTGCTTCTCGCGGCCTCGAGTTTTTATCGAATGCATGGTGGGTGAGCTGTCTCTTTTGATCTCTGTCAGTGTTCTTGATTAGGCCCAGATCAATTGGCTTAGTACTTTCGGAGCATATTTTGTTTGGTACAACACTCGCATGCACAGTTTGTTGCTCGCATTTCGCACGGGACTTCGGTTCAGCCTCCAGATTCCCGAAACCCTGGCCCGGAATCGATGCAGGACGTAGGGGCTGAGTTTTTGCATCTCGGTTTAATTGGTTAGGAAGAAAAAACGGGGTGGTATCTCAACGGAACAAGCTTGCAAAATAGTGCCCAGAGACCCCAATCCTCTTTAATTCAGCAATATCCGTCAAGCTCTTGGTGGTCGCTAATACAATGCCAAGAGTCGTGCGAACCCTTCACTCCAGTGTAAGTGCCAATAAGCCCGCCTGCGGCCTTTATATTCGGATTCAAGCGAAGTCGAAAGCCTTGAGGAAGCACTTCGCCTTTCACGACTATCAAGCCCCAGGCGTGAGGAGACTTGGTCTCGCATCAGTGAAGCTTCAAGCGGATTCGCTCCTTTTGCAGTGAGGTTATGTACATGATTGGAGTACTTACTGAGTAGCTTTAAGGTTAGAGTAGCCGGAACTCCCCGTCTTATCCCAGATGCAACCTTCCTCAACTCTGAACCTCCAGACACGAAATCCGAGAACCGTAAACCCTAATCTCTCAACACCCTATAGTCATATATAGAGATACACGCATATGTAGTATAGTACCAGAGAAGTAGCTGCTTTAGTGGAGACTCTAGATATGTACAGTATGAGCCCACGTCCCACTTGGAGGGTCGGGGAACTTAGTAAGTCGGTAGTAAGTAGACTTATAAGTACCCTAAAAGGGACCCTAATTGGGGTTATGGTACTTCTAAGTCCCTAAAATAACCAGCTACTAAGTCCCCTAAACCCTAAACCCTTACAGAATCCCTATAGATCCCTTTAAAGGACCCCTTTAAAGGAACCCCCTTAGAGTTACTAAGTCCCCTAAAGACCCTCCAAGCATGAGGCAAGCCATTACGGAGTTCGAAGAGCTGGGAGCGCTGGTGAACTGCCAGGCCACCGGCTGGGAGCGCTCCCACAAAACTTCAAAAGCCAAACCTGTTTAGGGTTTAGGGTTTAGGGTACATATACATACATGCATATGTGTATAATGATATATTTATAGATATGTGTCTTGATATTGGTGGGGGGGGCCCTTCTTATGGTCCTAGCATAAGAACCCTCTTTTCATTCTTCAGGCCCCTATAGTATAGTGGTCTGAATAATTGGGATGCAGCGGGTTCTGTAGGGGCTTCTAGTGAACTCCGGGGTCTTATAGAGTTGTGTAGTACCTATCTAAATATAGCACAAAGTAACTGCCACAACCTTATTCTTATTGTCAAAATCTTTGTGTGATGCTCCATATCTCAACGAAGAGCTGCAGTCAGCCATCATGTTTTTTACCTTCACCTGAGCCTCTGTAGAAGCCGTCGGCAGGCAATTGGTGCCGGCTGGGATGGATCTGCTTGGTACGACGACGGCTGGAACGCCGAAACCGAGACAAACGTGTCCGAGGGCCGCCTCTGCCATCGCGGGAAGCTGGGAAACCTTTCGCCCGCCTTTGTCAACAAGACCTTCTACGTCTATCAGCGGCTCGATTGTTGTTGAATCGGGAGCATTATGGGGTAAGAAAGCTTTGCGCAGCAAAATGAGCTTCCTGAGTGTCATCCACCAAGCCCACTGATACCGGCAGGGAACAACCCGCCGAGATGTCGATCCCCACCCTTGCTTACACCAGGCCACCTTCCAGCCCCGCGTCCTAAACCCCGTCTTGAACAAGAAACCTGCGAGAAAAGTCACCCCCCCCCCCCCCCCCCACACCCTTACCCAACAAGGCAGTCCCCTGAGGCCTTTTGGTGCAGGACACCCGCTAGAGACCCCTTCAACGATCCGGGGATTTAGCATGTAGGATGATAAGGAGGGCAACCACGAGTTTAAAGAATGTGTAACCGGTTGTAACCCCATCAGGGTGCATATAGACATACGTTTAACCACCTTATAACCCATATTGTTCAATACCCGTGGGTACTTTAAAGCAGGACCCCCATCGCCGAGTTTCGCAAAGAGATGGACTGCTTGTTCCTTGCAGGTAGAGCCTTGGCGATCTTCCTACGCGAGGGCTTCGGGGTTTAGGTTTAGGGCTCAGGGTGTACCTTAGCCTACCAAACCCTACTTTTTTGTAGGTTCTTTTTTATGAACCCTAATATGGAGTTTATAGGGACCCTACAAAAAAGTAGGGTTTGGTAGGTTAAGGTAGGCTTACTAAGTCCCCAGCCCCTCCAAGTAGGGTGTTTAAAGGGTTTTGGGTTTAGGAATTCTGGTGTGCTAGGAATGCTGATGTAGCCGCGATCGCGAACAATGCCACTCATTGCGAACGGTAATGCAGGATATTGTGCATCAGTCGGGGTCTTGCTAGTTGTGATATTAGTACTACTTCTACTGCTACCACTGTGACTACTATTGCTGCTACAAGTATAGGTGTCAAGTCAAGCGTTGTCACTATTCTGGCTACTATTAATATAACGCTTATTGCTATTACCACTGATATGACTCTTGCTATTCAATTTTTTTACTATTGGATGCAGCCGAGCCGAGGAATGACGTGTAGTACGCTGCAGGGCAGCTGGAGCTTTCGCGGCGAAGGTCGAAGGCTGCATGTCCTTTTGGAGAGCCCGTCTGGTGGAGCCTTGGAAGTCTTCTTCAACAAGGACTGGGTTCTTGTTAAGGGAGACTTAGTTTTAAGTTACCATACTAGGGAGCTATAAGGGTTCCTTTAAGGGATCAAGAAGGGTTCCTGTAAGGGTTTAGGGTTTAAGGTCGGAGTTACCATAATAGGGATCTACAGTAAAGAGTATGGTTTCTGTGTTCTGGTAAAATAGAATCAATCCCTTAACTAGAACCCGGAGGACTACACGGCCTTCATTATGGGGTATCTTGGATCGACGTATTTTGGACTTCAAGAAGGTTTGGCGTTCATGGCAGTGAAGCAGGCCAACCGGCTCTTCAAAGATGCAAAGAGACAGCCGCTGTGAACTTGAAGCTGCTTGCCGTTCTTCTGGTTGGCTCTTAGGATGGGTTTCTGTATGAACTAGAATAAGGAGGCTAACAGTTTAACTTTTAGAGGGGGTTCAGAAGTCAGCCAAGGCTGCAGATCCTACGAAGCTGCCGAGTTGAGCAGGACAGCACCCCAGGGCCACGTCGAGTTCCGCGGAAAACAAAGGAAGGCCAGGCCAAAATGGGAGTTTCCGAAAACAAGGGACCCCCTGAATTTAGTAGGATCCGCATTATAAGCACCCTAAATAGTAGGATCCTGATTACAAGGGCCTTAAACAGTAGGATCCTCATTATAAGGACCTTAAGCAGTAGGATCATTATAATGTAATATGGACCCCAAAGTGTAGGATCCTTAATTTAAGGACCCCAAAATCAGGTCCCAACTGGAGAAGTCCTCGCCGGCAGAAGCCGCAGCCTGCTCTGGCCCGTCCTCGTGGTCTCCAGACACTGGGCTCTTGGTGAGGGGATTTAGGGGTTTTTGGTTATTTAAGGGTTTAGGGTTCAGGGGTTTAGGATTTAGGGGTTTAGGCGATTTCGGGGTTTAGGGTTTAGGAGATTTAGGGGTTTAGGGGATTCCTTAATCAAGGAATGTACCTTAAATCAGCAGGGACAAAATATTGTGATTTAAGCTATGTTCCTGAATTACAGGATATTGGGCTCTCTGGGTAAGGGGATCTAGAGGTATAGGTTTTAGTGGGGATTTAAGTTAAGTTGCCATAACAGGGATCCATAAGGGCTCCTTCAAGCGGTTTCATTGAAGTAACCATAATTTTGGGTTCCATGAACGGTTCTATAAAGGTGTGGGGTTAAGCGACTTAGTTTTTGGTTATCATAATAGGGATCTATAAGGTTTCCTTTAAGGGATCTAGAAGGGTTCCTGTAAGGGTTTTGGGTTTAAGGTTGAAGTTACCAAAATAGGGATTTATAGTCAATCTTATGGTTTCTGCGTTATGGTAACTTGAAGCAAATCCTTAACTAGAACCCAGGAAACACCTCTGGTCTCGATGTGGCTCCACGGAGTCGTCGGGTCCATTGCTTTTGGAGGGCTCTGCACATCGCCTCGTTCGTGAGCGGGCAGACGACCTCGCGCCATGGACCCCAAAAGTCTGCAAGCCCTGCTGATAGTTCTATGCACGTTTATAGCTCGAACCTCGTTCCCCATTTCAAGAAACCTGAACCCCATACAAACACCTAATGAACCATGACATTGAGGGTTCTCCTTCATTGGCAAACTCGCCGTCTAAAGTAGCTGGCGCTGCAGACGGCCACACGTTCAGAATTCCATGTTTCAGGTGGGTCAAGAACAATGTAAAGGTCTGAGCAAGCAGTGGCAGCATTCCCTGTTGTCACCGCCCATCAATATAAGAATAATAATCATAATGATAATAATATGGCCCCAAAACCTTACTCTTGTTACTGCAAGTTATTAAGGCTCCCCATGCTAACCCCTACAGTCGCTGGGATCGGATTTGATTTCGGCGCGGTTGCTTCGCTTCGCATTCTCGTTGCCTGCCTTGCCGCTTGCCTCTGGCCCAAACTGAGTTCTGCATGCTGGCATTCCAAGACTCATACGAGGCCAAAAGGGGTCTTGGGGTTAGGGTTCATATTCGGGAATCCCTACCCCAAGAATCTTAAACCCCCCCTTTGGCCTCCCATCAAAAACGCTATTCTGAATGTTAATGCTTCTCTGTTAGTTGGGGTGTTGGGAGGAGTGGAGAGGTGGTTCTGCTCTGCCGCAGTATCGGCTCAGGCACTCCGGGAGCCGCAAAGTAGTTGGGTAGTTTGAGACTGGTGCCAGACATACGGCACAAGATCATGTCACTATCCAGTCCCAACGAATAGGTCACACCCTAAACCACCCTAAACCCTAAACCACCCTAAACCGTAAACCACCCTATACCCTAAACCACCCTATACCTTAAACCACCCTAAACCCTAAACCCGAACAGCTTTGGACTGCAAAGTCGTCCTTGGTTGCGCTCGCGGATGGTGTTCAAATCCTCCGAACCTGGTGGAAAGATCTCCTGGCCAAGGAGAGGGAGCCGAAACGAGAGGCAGACGAATTGAGTATAGTATATTATGTTACACTATATTATATTATATTATGGTATAGCATAGTATGCTATATGAGTCATAGTATATCATAGTAAACTATCGTAAAGTATATTGCTTCATGGCATGAAGTTAAGGGCTTCTTCACTCAGTATTCGGTTTGTGCAGAAGAATCTGGCACTATACGAATCTGTACGATGCATTAACCCTGTTTGCTGTGCTACTCTCTGTCTCAGGTGGGATAGCGCGCCTTCGCACAGGCGCGAGGAAGGGCTTTGGCTTTGGTGTTTGAGGGCTTTCGGTTTCGCATGTCGGGCTTGCGCAGCTTAACTGACTGGTGGCAGCAGCACTAGAGATGCTGCTAGCAGTGGTGTTGCCGATGATGTTGCTCGCAGCACCCTGTCAGAATTCAACAATCCGAAGAGTAAACAACGTTCTGTTCGTAGGTTCACCAGTTTCCTCTTGTTTTTAAGTCCCCTTACTCAAACTGGAGAGCGAAACGGGTTACCCTCATTTGCAGGCTCCTGCACCCGCCAGACATTATGTTCGCATGTTGCCCTGTGGCTCCAGCTAGACGTGCTGAGCTTTTGATCCTGTCACTGACTTGTCGGTAGTTGGAGGAGACGACGGGACTGCTTGCACGGAGAGTTGGGGATTTCATTAAGCTTGCCTTCTTTTGGGACTCCTTCGCATTGCGAGTTGCCCACCCAGACCCCCGGGAGGATCTAGAAAGTAGATCCCCTAATTTGGGGCCCTATACTTCTACGGGTACTTTATAGGAACCCCCATTAAGGGATCTACTTTTTGGATTCTGCCGGGGGTCTGCGCAAGTCCGCTCTCCGCTGTGAGAGCGCGAGACTCACGCGCGGCCATGAACTCCTGCGCTGGGGAGGCAGATACTGAGCAGGAAGAGCGAAGCGAGGAGGTGGCTGCGTTCTTGTTGAGGAGTTTAGGGTTTAGGCGTTTAAATCAAGTTACCATAAAAGAAACCATATTATTTACTATAGCTCCCTATTATGGTAACTGGACTAGGACCTGGAGCAGGCCCTTATTCCCTTTTTGTATGTTTCAGGTTCCCTTATAAGCCCCTTTAAACCAAAAAGGGCACCCCGTTTATTCCTAGGCTACTCTTGGGTCTAGAGGAGTCTATTTCAAGTTACCATAAAAAGGAAACCACATTATTTACTATAGCTCACTTTTATGGTAACTTAAACCTTAACGCGTAAACCCTTAAAGGAACCCTGAGAGATCTCTTGTATGGTAACTTCAACTAAATCCCTCAACAAGAACCCAAACCTTAAACCTAAAGCCTTAAAGGAACTAAATTATGGTAACTTACACTACCATCCCTTAACAAGAACCTAAACCTTAAACCTAAACCCTAAAAGGAACCTTTAAGGGAGCCCTAATTTATATTTACGGTAACTTAAAACCTGAAGGGAACCCTAAACTATGGCAACTTAAACTGAACTCCCTTAACAAATTCTTTAAACAAGAACCTAAACCCTTAAAGGAACCCTAAACTATGGTAACATTAAACTAAATTCCTTAAAAAAAGAGCCCAGGTGGCTATGCAAGGCGACCTCCCGGGGCATACGCCCAAGGAAACCCAGCGGAGCTTCACAGATCCTTAGTAGCTGAGTGGATACTTTTTGGGATAAGAATACCCACAATAAAACTGAAAGTGTACACTTCTGGGGGGCTTACGAACTCAGCAACTGAGGATCTCGGCTTCGTCCCGGTCTTTGCAGTGGCTTTGGTTCCTGGGCTCTGGTTCAGGGAGAGTTAGTTTAAGCTACTACCATAAATTTAGGGTTCCATTTATGGAATTGTAAGGGTTTAGGGGTTAAGGGATGCAATTTGAATTATACCAATCACGATCTATGGTAAGTAATATGGTTTCCTTTCTATGGTAGCTTAAATTAAATCCCTTATCAAGAATCCAGGTTCTCTTTGGGGGCTGCCTCTCCATCGCAGTGGGCCGGGGAAGCTTCCAGCGACTGGTGGCTTTGCCCAACAGACAGGGCATCCTTTGCGGCACTGAGGGGCAGGGTCCCTACCTGTTCTTCTGCCGCACGCTGCAAGGCGACGACGTGGATCTCAGCCGACAGACTTGCCTGAAGGAACTGGGGCATCCGGAAAGCATCCCTGACTGAACCCTGCGGCCCCACATTTGTATTATGCCGTACTGGAGAAAATAGTTTCTTCCGAACCCGCTCCCCAGGAATGCCCCGCCGACGACAAGGTGGACGTCCATGCCTGTGAAGTCATGGGTGCTTCCTTGCAGAGCTACCCCTCCTCGCCCGTGGCAGGGATGCTGTGTATGCCCAGCCCAGCGCACATGGTCCAGGAGCCACTGCCACAGAGTGTTGGGAGATGCTTTGCATGGAAGAAACCTCGAAAGCTCTACTGAGCTAGTTGCCACTACTTGGAGGTTCATGGGGTAGTTATAGTTGGGGTTATAGTTAAGTCCCCTAATCTTAAAAGCCTACTTATCTCCAAGTGCTGGTCTGGCGCACTCCCTCCGGATATCACAGCAGCTGTGTTGGATCACGTGGGAGCGGATCTATCTTGGAGTTTCCGAAAATTAGGTGGACCTTGTTTTGAAATCCTGAAAACAAGGATTCTAATATTGAGGGTACTATATTAGGGTCCCTCTGTTTTCGGAAACTCCCATGTTGAAGCTTCTGGGACTTTCCAGGACGTGAGAATCCTCTTCGCTTCCAACGCTTACTTCAAGACCCTGCATCTTGGCTTCTACTTGGAAACTTATGGCGAGTTATAACTACGTTTAAAAGTTGCGCAACTATTTTTAGATGGCCATATTAGAGCACGTAAATATAACCCTCATAAACTATAACTACACATGAACCTCCAGGTTGCTTATACAAATAGCCCATACTCGAGGACTTGGTTATAGCCCGAG